GGAGACTGGACAAAAAAATCGAGACTGAACTTTCGCGCGCTTAGTGCCCCCGAGGTAGAAGTGCCGCCGACCAGTGTTTGTGGTTATCTGCTGTGATTTCATATTGTGATATTAGTATCAGACAAACACTAGGCGTATATCGGAGAGAGAGAGAGACAGCCAGCAACTTTGTGAAAATCGTGCACACTGGAGGACTATTCGGAAGCCACCATGAACGTGTTCTCGCGCGGTCGACGGGCACCCTCTGTCGGCGTGGCCCCCGCCCTGGGTACGGCCCTGGGCTCGGCGCTGGGCCCCGCGCTGGGCCCGGCCCTGGGCCCCCACAGCGAGAACCCGCAGGGAGCGTGGAGCGCGCTCGTGGCCGACCTGGCCCTCGTCTGCGGGATGCTCGCCTTACAGGTAAAGTCTGGTGTAGAATTTCGCTTTTTCAACTGTCCTTCCATCGCGGCGCGCGCTGTCATGGGGTAACGCAACCACGTGGCGTCCGTGAAGCAGTCGGGCAGTGCGGCTGGCACCCCTGCCAGCACCCCTGCCGGCAGGGCTTTCTCTGGGGAAAAGCCTTTTCCCGGGAAATCCACTCCGCGCACGCTGAGCCATTTCCCGGGAAATCCACTCGGCCCGGCCGGCGCCTTGTGGACACGAGACGCGGATTATTTGTTTGCGGAACAATGTTTGTGCGAATTGTTTTCTGCAGCCTTGCACCTCGGTGGCACCTCGGTGGCACGTGAGCAAAGCGAAGCCTTCCCTCTCGGATCGGCAATCACGCGACCGCGACTGCAGATCGCCAAAGCAAAGCGGAAAAAAATCGCGACCTGCACCAATATATCAGATTTACTGCAGACCCATTGATGCTGGCTACCGATCGTGCCAGCAGAGTCGAGAGCTTCGCGTCTATCTTGGAACGGGGCCACAGGGGGGTTCACTGCGAGCTTTTCCGCGTACGTCGGGGAGGGGGAGGGGTAGGGGGAGGGGTAGGGGGAGGGGGGCACTGGCCCTCAAGCAGAAAGAACTCGGCTGTTCCTTTTTTCCCTTTCCCGAACGCCGGCAGGGCGAGGAACTCGTGTTGTCGAATGAGAATGCGGCATCATGCGAGTCGACCTTCTCCACTTCTCGTTTTTCTTTCTTTTGTCTTTCTTTTTTTGACAGAATTAGTGAAAAGCGCGTGGCAGGCAAACAGTGCGGTCCCTACCGCGGAGGCGAATCCGAATCCGAATATGCATGCCGGCCGTAGTAAAACCGGAGCATGGCCCTATCTCCGATGACGCAGGCCTGATAACGGAATGTTCTGTTCATGGGTTGTCTCAATGTAAAAATAAGTACGATGGACGACTCAGTGTATGGATACGACTTTTACTGTCTGAGAGTGCAAGGGGAATACACGCACGAGCAGGGGACAAAGAACCAGGGGCGTGTGCAGAAAGTTTTACTGGAGGGGGCTATTGCCTACCTTGCAGGGGCATGTATCTAAAGTTGCCTGAATCGCATCTCCTGCTGTGCTGAATTTCAGATTCAATATCGATAGTGACAGTGTGTAGGTACTTATTAACCGTTATTAACAGTCTTTATGGCCATCAGGACAAGCTTCAAGGCGTACAAAAGCAGTAAAATCTATGCAAATCGAACTATTCCTGGACCCCCCCCCCTTTCACCGATCTCCTCGGATCTGGACGTTTCACAAGGGGGGCCGAAATCGAACTGGGGGGGGCTGAGCCCCCCTTGAGCCCCCCCGTAGACACGCCCCTGCAAAGAACAACAGTTGACAGGCTACATGACGTGGCACCAGTTATGACAATCTGGTCCGCATGGCGCGAACCTTCAACTTACACCAAGAACATAAGCCCTTCTGAGTCTCTACTCAGAACACGGAACACTCTAGCCGCGAGCTCACAGTGTGCACACACCCACTTATTAAAGGCCCAACCCCGCGCCACTGTCACCTCACACCTGTCAATCAGTGCGCAGCAGGTGCCCTGGCCGCGCGGGCAGGGCCGCGCTGCCTGCCGCCTGGAACCGTCTGGTCGCCTCCAGCTTCCTCCAGCGAGCCGTCGACGCGCGCTTCGCGGAGCCGCGGAGGACGCTGGGACACTGGGCGGCACTCCTCGTCTTCGCCGCTAGATTGCTACTATCGCGCAGTCAATGGGCATCCGTCCCCGCGCTTATGACGTCCCGGCACTGCAAAACAAAAAACCAAAACAACAGTGTTCAAATAAAACCCTAAATGAATAACATCGGGTTCAAACTTACAGGCAACAGGCGTTGTCGACTTGTCGGTTGTTGTTGTTGGTTTTTTTGCAGTGCTGTCGCGTTAATCGCATTGCCGGTTGCATCACTGGTGTCGAGTGTCCGGCAGTGTCCAGGGTCGTTGAAGGTGCCTCAACCTTTGCGCGTCGACCGCAGCAGCGGCGGTGGCGGTGGCAGCCTTCCTGGATGATCCGTTTTAAGGCGGTGATAGTGCTATCGGCACACTGGCAAACCGCCCTAAGACTCTGGGAGCGGCACGCGTGCGCGGACGTCACGGCTCAGCCCTCGGCTTGTCCGGCCGGGCTATCTTGGATGACGGTAAAAGCGGCAGCTGCATCGCGGGGCCGACTTTGCGGCTCGCGTTAGTGAAGCGACGAATTCACTGTTCAAATTTGAAAATCCCGCCCGTCGACGCACAGTGGGCCAGAAGACCGCGGTGGAGCAGCCAAAACTCGAAACGCGTTTTGAGCTCCAGAGTCGCTAAATGAGACACCAACCGAACGTGTGACCCCACCAATCCTCGCGGGAACTGCTGGAGTTTTTCCGAGGGGCGGCATTTTCCCCGACGGTGTCGTTATGCAACCGTGAGCCGGCTTAGGTTTGTCCGCCGAGGCTGCAGCAGGTGTCCTTGAACCCGACGCGCCCGGTCACACCGCGTACTCGCAAACTGTTCCGGCTGAAGCTGTGCAACATTTGCATCTTCCAAATACCCGCGCGAGCTCGAGGCAGGGAGAGGGGGGAGGGGCTTGGCCGTCCAGGAAGCGAGTGGGAGTGAGACGACTCCATGTCCTTGCTCGGCGACGCCGTGCGTGCTGGACGCTACTTAGGCCCCCGGTGCAGCGCGCCACCACACTGCCATCCGATTCGGCGCGCGAACTGGGTCACCGTCAAAGAGAAAAACGGCGACCGCCACTTTCAATTTAGGGTTCGTGTCACGTGACGTCTGCCGTCTCTCTCGCACTCCCCGGCAGTCCGTATGGGAGCGACAAGGACGGTGCGATGAAAAACGTGTGCGCGCGAGAGCTGTCGCTTTTGCAGTGTACTGCGCACGGCGGCGTCGGCTCCGGAGGCAGTTGTGGTTGTCGTCGTCGCGGTGGTGGCTGTTGTACTGCCCTGTACACCCCCTGCTTAGCATCCGTGATCCTGATCCAGTTGGTGAAGAATTCCAAACTCGGTGCGCTCGGCGCTGTAGCTGCGTGTGCATCGGAGCGAACTGCCAGAGCGCGCACTCGCACTGACACACGCACACACACACGCACACGTACGCACTCGCACCGCACACGGCAGGCACAGAGAGGGAGGTCGGTCACTCCGCCAAGGCAGTCCGCACGTTGCAGGCCGTCGGGGACCGTCCGAGAGCCACGCGCACTGCACCGTCCTGCCGAAGATCACCGAGAAGCTGGGCTGGGAATGAATGAGTCGATTGTTCGGACTCGCGCGCGAAACTCGGAACTCGGGACTCGCTCGTCCCTCGGCAGCCACTGCCGCTTCCTCTTTCGTTATCACGGGCATCGTTTTGTATGGAACAATGCGCTGCCGTGTCTTGCCGCGCTCAGCACACTGATTCCGAGAGTCGTCGCTCTGTCTCTCTCGCACTCAAGGGCCGTCTCCTAAAGGTGCGAGAGGGACAGAGCGACGACTCTCGGAATCAGTGTGCAGCCCCCGGCCGGCCGCGCCACGCCCCACTGGTTGCCTGCCGCGCACAACTTGCCCCCCAAATTGGATCTGGACGGGCCGTGCCGTGGCGTGCCGCGCCACGCCGTGCCGTGCCGTGCCGTGCTTCGATTGCGGCCTTTGATGCGCGAGGTGCTCTGTCAAAATTACCTCAAAAATTGTTTTGGTTTGTTTTTGTGACGGAAATAAAAATTCATTTTCTTCAGATCTTATTAGAGGTCGTCTACCAATTTCTCGGAACTGCCGAACAGACTGTGTGTGAGTGTGAGAGAGAGAGAGAGAGAGAGAGAGAGAGAGAGAGAGAGAGAGAGAGTGGCGCGAAGACGAGCCGAGACATAGGCGCGTACGTACCACTGATAAGATGGGAGGTTGTAAATCTGCTGATATCCACTGCACTGGTGCCCCCCGATTATTGAGTCGGCCGATTGCCCAGCTCACTGTCAAGCTGACGTTGTTTCTGTCGTTGTTGCTGCTACTGCGTGTCTCTTGTCGCTGCTGCAGTATATACACCTTGATATCCTTCCAACAACACCGCGGCGCGGGAAAAAAATAAAACTTGACGAAAAAACGAAAAAACGGCACTCACACACACTCAACCAGAACATCTTTATGTCCCTCATTCCCGACTAACCGGATTAGCCGATGAGGAAAACAACAAAATGGCAACGACAACATCAAGAACAAGGAGGGCGTGCTCGCGGTGAGTGATGCCCGCGGGGGGGCCTTGCGGGGGAGGGGGGGAGGGGGCCACCCGGGAAGCCGGAAGCGGTGCGAAGCGATGCAAGGGACTGGCTGGCCGGCCGACTCGCCGAACAAGAGCACGCGTACTCGCCGCCATCATTTTCCACGACACCCTTCTCTTCCTGCCTGTCTGCCTGTCTGTCTGTCTGCCTGTCTGGCTGAGACGTATCTCTTGATGACGCAGCCTTCCGTTCGGAATCAGTCAGGTGTGGCCGATCGGTCGATCACGCTGTCCGATCGCCACGCCTCTCCACGAGGAGGTGGACCCTTTTGTTTTCTTTTTTTCCTTTTTCATTGTCATTTTTCCATCCTCCTGACGTTCCCGTTTGTGTCTCTGTTTGCAGTTCAAGCGGATGCTGAACAAGGAACTGAGCCACTTCTCCGAGTCGAGCAAATCGGGCAACCAGATTTCCGAGTACATCTGCTCCACTTTCTTAGGTGAGTACAATCATAATGATGACGGGCTGAGCTTCCAACATGCGCGTCGGGAAAAATGGCCTAGAAATTATCCACAACGGCACAACCCACTCAAAAAGAAAATTTTTAAAAAAATTTCAAATTTATGCAGGTGGGCTGTCTTTTAAAATTTTTAAGCAGTGCGTGGCCGACGCAAAATTTGGCGGGTTCCTGAGAATGCGACGCAAATAAAGGGGCGCGAGACGAAGACGACGACCCCGTTGTTGTGGCGGCCGTCGACTAACAGTGCGCCTGGCGGTTGGCTAGGCCTGCCAGGATCGCCAGGCACTTGGGCCCCAGTGGAGGGGAGAGAGAGGGAGAGAGAGAGAGAGAGAGAGAGAGAGAGAGAGACGGACAGACAGACAGAGGGAGGGAGTAGTAAAAGGGAGAATAGGGTCGAGGGGGTGTGGTTTGGTCAGGCAGGGGAATGGGGAGGGGGGGCGAAGTGGACAGCGGGGCTGCTGTGTATTCGAGGCGTACATCACATCTCGTCGCCACAATGGCCACGTAATACTTGGACGAGGGGGCTGCGTGTGCGGCGCGCTCAAGTACAGGTGTAACGGGGCCGAACGGGGCCGAACGGGGCCCGTCGTCGTGTACAAAAGGGTGAACAGCAAAAAGGCTGGCCCGCTCGCTGTGCTAGTGTGCATGCGTGTGTGTGTGTGCGCGCGCACACACACTGTAATGGATGGCCGGCGAATATCATTTGCAACGATTTCCGCGGGAGCGCTCGGATCCCCCCTGTGTGCGTACCCCTCCCCCACCCCTCTCCACCACACTGCGACCCCCGCCCCTGTCCGGACGCAAACCCCTCCCCTGCAAGCTAGACCGCCAGACAGGAGCTTGCTACGAAATCGGACAGAAACCGCGCGTGGCTGGGACTGACTGCCCATTTTCGATAGGGCCGTAAATAAACACTAGCAACAACCGTGGCAAAAAAATTTAACGTTCCGAAAATTTCTTTTCCTGGATATGGAATATCTAACGCGGCCTCGATAAGATTAAGATAAGGAAAAAGGCCCAGTGAAGGGACTGCGCAAAAGAAGGAGAGAGAGCAGACGAGGCTGGTCTTGCGGGGCTGTCGCCTGATACTGCAGGCACACTGAGCCGAGCGAGGGATGGGGTGGCCGAGCTGAACCTAAAATCCGTTTTCCTCTTGGCACTGCACTGTAAGGTGGCAGTACTAACTCCGCTCCCTTGCGCGCCTTGACGCAGCGGGGGAAAGGCGGTTCGTATTTCTGAACTGCGCGCGCTATATTGGGACGGCAGAAATACCCGTCGGTACGCCATCGCATTTCGCTTTTGGGCTGTAAACTTAGACAGTTGTCCGATTTCGTGTGAAGTCGGCGGCGTCAACGCGCCCCGAGTGCTCCCAGGGCTCGTCTCAGGGCTGCCAAGTGGCGCGTCGCTCTGTCTCCGCCACGGCGAGCCCCGCGAGTGCGAGAGAGACAGAGGAGCGACCCCACGGAAGAAGCCTGCGGGTTGTGTGCAACGCGGTGGGTGACTCAGCGGCGGGGTTGCCCGAAGCAGCGCGCTGACGCCGAGAGTCATCGCTCTGTCTCTCTCGCACCTGCAAGGAACGCCCCATGAGTGCGAGAGAGACAGAGCGACGAAAACGATTCTCCGAATGAGTCCGGGCTGAGCAGTGCAAACCAAGGGACGCGACTTGACGATCCTGTCGAGCTTCGAGACGTCGACACTGCAAAGAACGCTGCAAAGAACGCCTCGACGCGCACTGCCGAAGTCATTTCCTCGCAGTGTAGCGAGCCGACGCGCTGGCTGAAAGGTTTTCAAACGGCTTCACTCGTTTTCCTCGTAGCGCAGGCTGGTGCCGCTGGACGCTGGCTCTGTGGCTGGGTCCGGCCGAGCGCCGTGGCGGTAGGCAACGCGCCAGCACCCGTGTCGCCGGGTTGCCTACCGCCACGGCGCCTCGCGGGTGGGCAGCGCGTGAAGTCACCCTGCAAAGACCCTGGAAGGACCCTGAGAGAACCCTGGAAGGACCCTGAAAATACCTTGGAGGGGCCCTGGAAGACTCCTGGAAAAGACGCTGGAAGGAAAATCGGTTGATGGATCCCACCGCCGCCCCCCGCCTTGCGATACCTCCCTCTCTCGCAGGGCCTGGCGGCGAGGCTGACGGCGAGGCTGACGGCCCGACCGACGACTTGTATTGGTTTTCGATGACATTCAGGCCATTTCTCTGCGTCCCCGCCATCCCCCTCATACGCATTCCCAAACTGGCTCAAAATTTCATCTCTCTCTCTCTCTCTCTCTCTCTCTCTCTCTCTCTCTCTCTCTCTCTCTCTCTCTCTCTCTCTCTCTCTCTCTCTCTCGTCCTGCGTGCATCAGTGCGGCCGAGGCCACGGCGTCAAGCCCACCCGCAGACTGATTCCTAAAGTCGTTTCCGCCGCTGTATCTCTCTCGCACTCATGGGGCGTCCCTTATAGGTGCGAGAGAGACAGAGCGACGAAAACGACTCTCGGAATCAGTCTGGCGTATTCGCCAACGGGAAGCGGCTTGTCCTTATCGCCGGCCGCGTGGCCGCGTGGCCGCCCTACTTCGGCAGGGAGCCTCTCCACGCAGCGCGACGCAGCGCGACGCCAAAGCGAAGCGCAAAGCGTGCCAAGGTGCGTGGCTGTCGGGCTGTCAAGGCGCCGGCTTGAAATACTGCGCGTCACTGCGGGCGAGCGACACGCGGAGAGCTTGGAAAATCTCGACGCTTTATTCAGAAAGCCACGTGGGGGGAATGCGTCGCGTTTTGCGAACCGGGTTCACACTTTTCCTCGCGGTGAGGCACACTGTGCCTCTGTGTGTGCGTAGTGCGTGGGTGTGTGTGCGTGCGGCTTCTAGCGCCACTGGCTTCATCCCGGCACAATACGGCCTCCGCCGACAGGGCGGGGCCCTGGGCGGCCCTGGGCGGGGCTAGGCGGGGCCCCCCGCCCCCCATTTTCCCTATCCGCCGCGCCCTGTATTCCAAGCCAAATCCCTACGCGTGACGACCCGACCGGGGCGCGACCCAGGCAAGCCAAACTCAAAAAGGCATCAGTCTCACGACGCGGCCGTGCCTTCCCCCCCCCCCTCTTTCCTCCCTCGTCATCGGCCTCACCGCATACATATGCCACACCCCGCGCGTACGACTGTCACCCTATCCACTCTCTATTCCGTCCCGCCCCTTCCGCCCCTAGTCTTCCACGCCCTCTCTCTCTCTCTCTCTCTCTCTCTCTCTCTCTCTCTCTCTCTCGCTCTCTCGCTCTCTCTATCTCTCTCCCTCTCTCTCTCTCTCCTGCCGCCTTTCAGCCGGTCCTCTTCTCCCCTCTGATCCCTTTACGAGGCGCCTTTGCCCGAGAGAATGGAATACCTGGGACTACCCGCGCTGCCCCCCCCCCCTCCCGCGCGGATCGAGTGTTTCGCACGGAACGCGAGGCCTCGCCACTGTAAACAGTAAACAGCACCGCGTGCGCCTTCTTTCCGCTTCTCGTCCGCCACACTCTAAGTCCGTGCCGCCGCAGAGCGATGACAGTGACAGCACAGCGCCTGCAGCGCGCAGTGAGCCGGCGTCAAAGCTTTACACGCGTTTAGAGCTGCAGAGTCGCCAAACGGGACTCGAACCGAGCGTGTGACCCCACCAATGGATTCCTCGTTCGGAGAGCAATCCATTGGTGGGGTCACACGCTCGGTTCAAGTCGCACTTAGCGACCCTGGAGCCCAAAACGCGCCCGGGATTTCGTCCGCCTCCACCGGTCTACTGGCCCACTGAGCAGCGCCTTGCAGCAGCGGGCTGAAAAGGAACTACTTTGTGCTTTGTGTGCGGGATGAGGGAGATGAGCGGGCAACCCGACGGGCAGGTGGCGGGCTGCGTAGTGTAAACGATACCCGTATCGAACGGGGCTGCCTGGGCAGGCACGCGCCGCACACACACTCACACACACCCGCGGGCGCACGCACACACACACACGCATACATGCGTGTCACTGCCAGGCGCGGGCGTCTCACGCGACCCGTTCAATATTTAAAGGGCGCAGCCGGCAGGCAGCAGCACACTGAGAGTCGTTGTCGTCGCTGTGTCTCTCTCGCACCTGTTCGCGACGCCCCGTGAGTGCGAGAGAGGCAGAGCGACGAAAGCGGCTCTCGGAACCAGCCCGCTGGCCGGGCCCGGCCGCCTTTCGATTTTAATCGACTCCGAGTGTTGTTCGGTTGTTCCCCGACCTCGCCAAGGCCTTGCAAGGCCACGTGGTCGATGGCGGTCGCTTTCGCGGAGACGTGGAAATGGTTCTGGCGGCTGGAAAAGCGAAACGTTGTACCAGTGTGGCTACATGGCGCACCGGCACTGGCGTGGGAAGGGTTGCCAACCTCAGCCTGCCTACTGGGCAACTCCTCGAGACCAAAGAGTGCCTAGGCTGAGGTTGGCAGCCCTTTCGGCACCGGTGCACTGTCGGAGTTTTCCTTCTGGCACACTGCACTGTGTGGCGTTGGTGGTTGTTCTCGTGCAGCAGCAAGGCAGTGGGGTGGGGGTTGCTCAAACGGTGCTGCTGCAGGCTGATTCCAAGGGTCGTTTTCGTCGCTCTGTCTCTCTCGCACTCGTAGGAGCGAGAGAGACTGCGCGGGGCTGCGCTCCCGATGCGCCCCGTCCGTCCGTCGCGGCCCATTGAGGCCGAGATTCGCGGCCACGCCGCTGCAGCGGTGCAGTCGCATTGTCGCTCTTTCGGCGGCTGGCTGGCTGGCTGGCTGGCTGGCTGCCCGCCTGGCTGGCTGGCTGGCGCGGCATTTGCCGAGTAGGAAGCAGCCTCGCCCTCCGCCCCCCGCGCCCTGCCCATCTTGCCCGCTTCCCCATTGACCCTATTTTTCAAACCCAGCATAAGAGCCCTCCCCGCCCCCGCCGCCAGCACCCGCCCCTCCGCCCCCGGGATCTCTTTCACATACTCCGTTCTTCCTTGTCCGGGAGCGGCCGGGAGGCGGGGGAGCTTTATGAGAAGAAAATGGTGAAAGAAGTGGGGTGGGGGCCGCGGGGGGCGGTTGACGTCACACGCCGCGACGCCGCCAAGCAACGACGGCGCGGTCCGGGCCGGTCGGGGACTCTCGTCCGGGCGGTGCAGGGCGGCGCAGGGCAGCACTACACACTACTACTTGCCATCCCTGGCGGCCCCGCGCCCGGCCTGGCCCCGGCCTGGCCCCGCGCTGTGCGCCCCCACCCCTTGCCACCCTTTTCCCTTCCAGCTTACACTGCAGCCAAAGCAACCCTAGTGGGCCCCCGCGGCCCCCGCCCTAGTGGGGCCAGCCAGCCCGGCCCGGCCCGGCCACGCGCACCAAGCGGCAACGCGCCACAGCGGCGTCGGCCACTGCCGCAGCCGCACCGCCGCACCGCCCTCGTCGCGGTGGTCCCTGGCCGCGTGCGCCGCGTGCGCCGCGTGCGTCGCGCGTGACAAGCGCCCCGTGCGCCGCGTGCTGCGTGCTCCGTGTCGCAATGCGCGTGCGCCACGACGCAGTGGAGGCCCTGCGCGCCGAGCTTGCAGTGGGGTGGCCGCGATAACAACACGCGACGCGTCGTGGCGGCGGCGACCGAAGAGGACCAAGACGGCGCCGCCGCCGAGTCAAGCGAAGCAGGCGAAGCAGGCCGAGGCCCCGCGCAGCATCCCCCGCCGCCCACCCGGACCGCCCGGACCGCCCGGACGCCGGCGGCCCTCGTTCGCCGCGGTCGGCGCCCCCACGCCGCCGCCCCCGCCGCCCGCCGCGCCGGCCCGCGCCCCGCGACGCAGCGCGCGCAGCGCCAGGGCGACAATGGTGACGGAGGCGCCGCGGAACAAGGCGACCAAGACCGCCGCCGCGTCGACGCCGACCTCCTGCGACGCCACGTCCACGTCGACGCGCGGACGACGCGGCTCCGGCGGCCACGTCGTGCCGCTGCGCCGGTCGCGGAGACTGCGCTGCCTCCTGCGCCGACGGCGACCCTCCCGGCAGCACGGTGAGGACGGAGACTCATTCCGAGAGTCGTCGCTCTGTCTCTCTCGCCCCGGAAGAGACAGAGCGGCGCAAACGCCTCTCGGAATCAGCCTGCTGTGGGTAACTCTGCGTCGCTGAAGTGGGCAAAGACCACCACCATGACGCACCAGGGTCACTGACCTCTGCCCGTCCTCCAGGCAATGCCATGGCCTGCTCTTGCCTCGTAGGCAGGCTGAGGTACACACATAGATTTTGTGTGTAGCCAACCCTTTCGGCACTGAAGTCTTTTTTCCTACTTTCACTGCCGAGGGAGTCAGACAACACGTCTACACCGTTAGCTCGGCCTTCACGGCCAAAACCGGCGAATATTGGTGAACTCCCCACGGCACCTGCAGAAGGCCGTTGTAGGGAGCAGCACCGTGTATCTGCCGCCCCGGGCAACGGCACGGCCACGCCACTGCCACGCCACGGCCACGCCACTGCCACGCCACGGCAACAGCGTGGCTACAGCCCGTAATGAAGGCTCTTGCACCACTTTCCACTTTGCACCTGGAGGCCAGGGGCTGGGGCGTGTGTGTGAGTGTGTGTGTGTCTGCTGGGGAAGGGTGATTGTAGGTGTGTACGTGAGCGCTGAAACAGGAGCCCAAAAAGCGGGACTGAAATTACTCGCATAAGCTGCAGGAAGGTGATAATTTGCGATTCTACAGGCATATAGCCCCCGAAATGGTAATGGACATGTAAATGCGGCCCTGGCTGGCTGGCTGGCTGGCGGGCTGGCTGGCTTCGCTGCTGTCGGCCTGGAGGTCCTTGCGCAGATGCATCGCGAGGCCCCGGCCCAGCCCTCGCCCAGCCATTAGCAAATGCTTCTGAAAGAGAAAAAGTTGGTCACTTGTCAAACAGCCCAATCCATCAGCCCGCTAAGCCGGGCACGGAGGGGCTGCGCAAGGGGCTGTACACCAACCACGTAACGCCACTGCCACTGTAAAAAATTCTGTACTTTTTTTTAAGGAAAATGTACAGAAAGTAGCACGGAAAAAAGTTCGAAACGTCCACACTTGTTCCATATGAACCTATGTAAACGAGAACGTGCCATCAGTTGGCAGGTACGGACAGTGTAGACAAATCGTTGACCAGACTTGTTACGTACTTTTTCTGTCCTTTTTTTTTCTTCCAGTGGTGGAGGGGATGAAATGACTCATACACCCTGTCGCTCGATGAGAGTGAGAGTGAGCGTGCGACCTTTCCGGGGGGCTCCGCGTGACACCTGTCTCTCTTTATTTTCGAGGCGACCGTTCTGGCCGTGTAGTATTGGTGCGGTGATTGTGGCCTCGCTTCCCATTTCCCCTCGACTTGTTTCCGGGCTGCATTCTACACGTGGCTACACGTGGCCTGGCCAGCCCTTGGTGCCGCATTTCGATCGGTGACGTCATAACATGCAAATGCCCGCCAGTGCCCGCCACACCTCTCCTTTCATTGGCTGCCGGCATGGCGGCCCTCGGTGGCCCGCCCCAAACTCCATCTCGCCCTTTTTTTAATTTTCGCGCGCGCACTTCCTTGCGGAAATATTCAAATTGGATTCGGCCGCGCCAGATTCATTCAGGGCCCCTAACTAAGTTCACAATCAAGTCGAAAGCCAACTTTCCCGCGGCAGGCTGCGGGACTTAATTTATCCGGGCGGATACTGTGAGCTTTTGTATTGGGAAAACGTATGCCGGTGGAATGGTGGGGAATCGAGAGACTCGGTCGGGGTCCAGAAGACTGATTCCGAATGTCGTTCTCGTCGCTCTGTCTCTCTCGCCCCATGAGTGCGAGAGAGACAGAGCGACGAGAACGACTCTCAGAATCGGTCCGCTGGTTGGGGCCTTTTTCGTGCCGAGCGCGTCGCGCGCACACGTTCCAAAACGACCGATTCTCGTCGGTGTCTCTGTTTCCGGCTGCCTCGCTGTTTGCGTGGAGACGACTTCGATATCAATTTGAGCCCTTGGAGGTCTCTCTGCCTTCCCTCGCGTGGCAGAGGGCTTTAATGGCCTGTCGAAGGGACCGAAGGGAACCCGAAGGGAACCCGAAGGGAACCGCCGCGGTGCGGTTCGCCCTTTTCGCTGTGATTATGGTTGTCTCTGTCCCTCTTCCTTCCTGTTCTCCCCCTCTTCGCCCCTCTTCGCCCTCCTTTCAAGTTTCCAGCAGGCCGAGAGTCGTTTTCGTCGCTCTGCCTCTCTCGCACTCATGGGGCGTCGCCTAAAGGCACCTAAAGGTGCGAGAGAGACAGAGCGACGAAACCGTTTCTGCAGCCCCAACTCGCGAGCTGGCTGCACACTTCCAATGCTTGTTGCGAATCCGCCCCCGCGGGATTTGGGAACCTTGAGCCTGGCGGCCTGGCGGCCTGGCCTTCCCAGCTACGACCAACTTTCTTTCCCCTTTCCTTATAAAATAAATTTTAAGAAAAAATCTTTGGGCGAATAGAGTTGTGTGCGTGGAGACGTGAAATACACAGTGTGTGTGCGAAGGATACTCCTCTTCCAGACTCCGCCAGGACCCTGCCGTCTCCCTAGCCACCCACTCCCCCCCCCCTCCCCTTCCGCCGCCTCCACCCCCCTGCCCGCCCCTGCCGCCAGCACGCTCCAGGTCAGCGTTGACGTCACGAGGGTAGGGTGGGGGATGAAGGTCCCCACCCCCTCCAGGGCCAACCCCTCCCCGTCGGGGGTAGCTCACCCCACGAGGCTGGGAGTCGCGGCGAGCCGAGCGGGCCCTGCCGAGCCGGGCCGAGCCGAGCCGGGCCCTGCCGAGCCGAGCCGGACGGGTCGAGCCTTGCCCTGCCTTGCCCGCTGACCGCAATGGGACATGACCGCGGTAAACACAGACTCCCTCCTGACACTTCACGAAAGGTCGTCCCAAACGACGCGGCCAAATGGGACGGGGCAAAATGGAGTAGAAAGCCGAACCGCGGGGGAGGGAGAGAGAGAGAAAGCGAGAGTCGCTGTTGTTCCGGCCGTGTCTTTTCCGAGCACATTGTCCATCTCTGTCTAGCCTGTTGATTCGCACCACGAGCCCAACATCACGACTGCCGTTGTAGATTTATCAAACTGTGAATTTCCGCGAGGATTCTTTTTCTTTTTCGGCGAGTGCGCGCGGTCTTTCATTCGGGGCTTCCCAAACGACGCCGCGACGCCCCCGCGGCCGGCAGGCAGGCCAGGCACGTCGCCGACGTCCTGCAGTGGCGTGGAAACCAGTTTGCTTATCGCGGGAAGAAGGAAGAGCACCCGCGTGGGGTCGACCGCGACGCCCCGGCGACGCCCCGGCGACGCCCCGGCGACGCCCGCGGCCACCAGACAGTCACTTCGGCGGCGGCGAGAGCAGCAAGACGGCAACCGCAATAGTTTGGCCGAAACACGGCGACGTCGCACTGAGTCTCGCTCGGCCGAGTTGCTGCCAAAATGACGACCTGGTAGCGGTCCAACATGGACTTTCCCCGCCAAAGTAAATGGAGGCGTTTCGTCGTGGAGAGACTCCGCTGCGTTGAAGGCAGCCACAATTCTAGACGCGGTTTGAGCTGCAGGGTCGCCAAACAGGACTCGAACCGAGCGTGTGACCTCGCCAATGGATTGCTCTCTGAACGAGGAATCCATTGGTGGGGTCCCACGTTCGGTTCGAGTTCCATTTAGCCACTCTGGAGCTCAAAACGCGTCCGGTATTTCGACCGCCTGCGCCGGTCTTCTAGCCCACTGTGCGATGGTTGGCTGCAGAGCGACGCGACGGCTGACCCCCTCTATCTTTCTGTTGACAGACAAGCAGCAGGAGCTGGACCTGCCGTCGCTGCGGATCGAGGACACGACGGACAGCCGGCCCGCCAAGAAGAAGGATGTCACCCGCACCACCAGCGGCACCATGTCGCAGATCCAGGGCGTCAAGCGCGCCCTGTGCCACACCAACTCGTTCACGGGGGAGCGGGTGCCCACGCACGGCGTGGAGACCGCCTTCGAGGAGGAGCTGGGACAGGTAGAGTACACTGTCTTTTTGAAAAGTGCTTCGGTATGTACCGGAAGCACGTTTCAAAGAGATATCTAAGTTGAGCACACAAAAAAAAGTTTCTTGGTTTTTTTCTTTTCTTGGTTATTTTAAAGAAAAAAATCTTGATACAAGAAAAGTTTTTTAAAGAAGAAAAAAGTTTGGCTATAGAAAATTTTTCTTAAAAAAAATAGAAATTTTTTAATCTAAGAAGTCATTTTATTTGGGGGGGATGAAGAAAGTGGCGTGGAAATACCCCGCCCACTAGAGACTTCTAGAGTTGGTCGTAGTCTCATGTTCGCGGGCGTTCCGTTGCATCATGCTCTCTCCGCTGATGACACTCTTTCATTGCCCTGCAACTGCTCATTGTTTTGCGCACGCACGGCGCTGGAATTGCTGGAATGACCCCCTGTTGCGTTTTCTCCCTTGCAGAGTCTGAGCCAAATAGACACATGGGGTATCGACATCTTCAGAATCGCAGACGTATCCGGCAACAGGCCGCTCACTGCGGTAGCCTACTCCGTGTTCTCGGTATGTGCCCTTCCCCCACCGAGTTCGACGATCCTTTCGAGTGAACACGAGAGTCACTTGTTGGCCCTTTTCTCTGTTTGCAGGCCCGCGACCTCCTCAAGACTTTCTCGATACCTCCCAAGACTTTCGTCACCTTCATGATGACCTTGGAGGATCACTACGTAAAGGATAATCCTTTCCACAACTCCACGCACGCGGCCGACGTGACCCAGTCAACAAACGTCTTGCTCAACACCCCCGCTCTAGAGGTACAGTGCCCAAAATCACATATCATTTTTATTCCTCCAAATTGTTTTGTTTTCCACGACTCGTTTCTTTTCCTTCAGTCGGTGTTCACCCCTCTGGAGATCATGGCAGCCCTCTTTGCGGCCACCATCCACGACGTGGATCACCCGGGTCTCACCAATCAGTTCCTTATCAACTCAAGTAAGTGCGCCAACACCACTTTTTCATTTTCTTAAAAGTTTATTTTTCTTTTAAATATTTACAAAATAATTAATGTCGCCTTTCCCTCTTCTTTCCAGGCTCTGAGCTTGCACTCATGTACAATGACGAGTCTGTCCTAGAAAACCACCACTTGGCTGTAGCATTTAAACTTCTTCAGAACGAAGGATGTGACATTTTCACAGGTCTAAGTCGCAAACAGAGACAAACTCTCCGAAAAATGGTCATAGATATGGTGGGTATTCGATGCATTTGGATTTAAATTGTACTACTCGTCGCACGAGCGGTCTCTTGACTCTGTTTTTATTTTCCCCAGGTATTATCAACTGATATGTCAAAACACATGAGTCTTTTGGCCGATCTCAAAACCATGGTTGAAACCAAAAAGGTGGCAGGGTCCGGGGTGCTGCTCTTAGATAACTACACAGACCGGATACAGGTGGGCCTTCACGGAGGGAGTTGCTTTTGGTGCTGTGTTGGACAACCTGACTAACGTTTCCACCGGTTTTTTTTTGTGTGTGTGTTTTTTTTAGGTCCTCGAAAACCTTGTCCACTGCGCCGATCTGTCCAACCCCACCAAGCCACTGCCCCTGTACAAGCGGTGGGTCACCCTGCTCATGGAGGAATTCTTCCAGCAGGGTGACCGCGAGCGTGAACAGAACCTGGACATCAGCCCTATGTGCGATAGGCATTCGGCCACTATCGAAAAGTCACAGGTAATAAAACTACGTTTTTCTAAAAGTGCTCGTTGTCTGGGAAAAGAATGCGAGGGACTCGGACCCCTGGCGAATAGGCTTCCCATGTGAAACCCGGCACAAACGTGGCGTGGGTTGCCTCTTCAAAAGGCAGCCGACCGCGCATGTCGATCCTGGACTAACATGGTGCAAACGTACTTTACAGGTTGGCTTTATCGACTATATCGTACATCCGCTGTGGGAAACTTGGGCTGACCTTGTGCATCCTGATGCCCAAGACATTTTGGACATGCTTGAGCAGAACAGGGATTGGTATCAGAGTATGATCCCACCCAGCCCTCCGTCCGGAGACAAGGTACGTTTTTAAAACAATGCAAAGTGGTTCTATTTCCTAGTCGATTCTCTAACTGAATTTAGTTTTGCTTTACAAAGACTGTAGTATTGTTGTACCTTTACAAAATCTTTTGAAGTATATCATATTTGTAGTGTAATGCAATGAAACCTCTGCAGAAAATACTTGCCATTGCAAAATTTCAATCACGAATCACATCGCTTTAGTATTTGATTTTAGTGTCACAAAGTCAAAACATTTGTAAGAGACTGTTCCCACCAGGTACTTGGGAAACTCATTCTTGAAGTATTTGATAGGCATGCTGGGCGCCTCCCTCTAGACTGTGCTGTAGTGGGTAGTTCGAGGCATGCCCCCCTTAGGAAGCAACCCTTGGCTACGGAGTCCTTGCCAGGGGCAGCCGGGCCGGGCGCAGCCGGGCGCCTGGGAGGCAGGCAGCCCTTCGTGCTCCAGTCACGATGTGCTGCCTGCCTCCCAGGCGCTCTGTGCCTTGCCGCGCGTGCCGCTGGCTGCTCCGTCTCCAAGCCGTTGCGACCCAATGCGTCCCACATCCAGATGCTCACTCACAGGGAGCGTCCTGCACTCGTTTAGACGTGCTCGTCCCATTTTGCACGCCCTCGTAGATTCCTCTAACTTGCCCGTTAGTTGGCGCGTACCACGGCCCTTTCAACTTTTATCTATTTCAAGAGAATCGACCATTCCTGACCCCTTTCCATTTTCTTTTTCGATTTATTTACTTTACGGTACTTTGAAATTAAGAACCAGTAGCATGCCCACTGGTTTCAATTGTCTGCGCTTGACTCTCTACACCCGCCCGCCCTGGTAACTCCTAGAGGGAATGCCCACCCTGCGTGAACCTTCGGCAACCTTCGTGAACCGACCGCCAGTTGACCGTTTCCACCGCATAGCGGCTCGTGAACACTATTGAACACGCCCTGTGGAAATTCTGCATGTGACGTGACCCAAGCCCTCGAGGCACCGTCCTCGGCCCCTCCGCGAGCCGCCCCGTCCAGCCCCCTGCCCCCTAGGTCCGCCCCGTGGTCACCATCGCATGACCGCCCCTAGACCGCCCCGTCGCCCCGTGTACATACCGGCCCAAGTAGGTTTAGCGCTCCCCGGGGTCGTTGTCATTCCACTTGAAAAGCACATACAGCTTCCTTAAGAAGCGTCCACTCTACTCAAAGAAAGCTTCGCATAAGTAACCTGCATACGCATCTTTCTCGAGTAGTGATGGCTCCCTTAGAAGGCGTAGGCCGCTGTGTAGAGGCCCTGGTCCAGAGGCCCTGGTCCAGAGGCCCTGGCCCTGTGCGCCCTGTAGGGCGAAGGGCCTTGTTGGCTCGACGTCCATGACGTGACGTCCACGATGAGACTTTGGCTTTGGCGGTGTTCGCGGCGTCCCCCCTGACCGGTCGGCGTGTCTTTGGCTCTGCAGGAGGGCGGGTCTGGCGGGTCTGAGAGAGGCGAGGCAGACGACTGTGGTGGAGTGTCTCGCCAAGACCGAATCCGCTTCCAGGTTACGTTGGAAGAAGGCGACGGCGACGAGGAGCAGGAGGAAGAGGCTGCCGGTGGCAGTCAAGGCAGCGACGACCCCCTGGAGGACCCCTCAGGGGACCCCTCGGGGGACCCCAGCAGCGCGGCAGGCATGTGACGGAGAATCGTGGGCCTGTGTAAGAAACTGCATGAGAAGGTCCAGCTGTGGTGGCGCGCCTCCAAGTGAGCACCATCGCCAATGGCCATCGCCAATGGCCATCGCCAATGGCCATCGCCAATGGCCGTCCAATGACGTCATGGGGTGAGGATGGACGGACACGGGGAACACGCTTGGCTTATGCCACTTTGTTTCTGACAGGTCTTTACTTCGCGATTAGGCAACTGGAATTTTTCGAAAACAAATCTCTAAAAAATAGTGACTTTTCTTGACTTTCTGTACATTTCAAGATTTGATTTTATTCTTTGTGCTGACGAATCGTTTGTGTACTGACGCTAGATATTATTCTACGAATGTGATTCGCGGTCCCTGCCGTTTTGTGATGTGTCCAGAAGAACTCTGTGTCTGTTGTCAGCTGATCTTGGAATCGAATGAGCTAGTCAAAGAAATAGCGTTAGTGTTTATGAGATGTGAGAGTCCCCGACTCACTAGTGTTATTCTCCTCTACCTGTTTCTCTGTGGTCCTCTTCCCTCTACCTTTATAGTGACCTGGCCTTGAAAAACATTTGCAATCTGATTAGAAATGAACAAAAGATATTGTTCTCTTTACGAACAAACCCTATACATATTTGTTAAGTGTACCGATTAGAGCATCAATCTATGCTGAAGCAATGGCAGTGAATGGAGATCTCGTGCGGAACTTAGAATGTGTGCTTTAATTAAGTTTTGGAACTCCTTGCCCAAATAGATGACGATAATAATATTGTTGCTTTGATAGTACCGTACTGTTGGACGATCAGGGTAGACACGAGAGTTTGGTTCTGAGTGGAGTGACCGACCCTCCTACACCCACAACTCTCCGAAGCGTCTCCAGTATTTATTCAAGTGGCTTTTTATTATTATGGTTATTGTCTTATGGTTATCATTATGGTTATTACTACAAGAACTGCAAAATTACATCTTGCCATTATTTACATGTGCATAGCATATATATTTATTATACCTAAAATATATGTTTTGTTAAGAAATAACACATGAAACATATCAAATGTGGTTTTCCGCTCCTAGAATGAATACTCACTTTTTTTTTACATTTGGAAATGTAAAAACAGAACAAAGAAGCCACACACACCCCCTTTCTGAAACAATTTGGCAAATTAAAAAAAATTGTCAATAAATTTACCAAAGTCCTTGTGTTTTAGAAAGCTTCATTCAGTAGCATGAGTGAGGAGTAATATGGTGATGAAAGCATATGGTTAGTATTTGCCGCAGAGTACAATGCCTTGTTACAGCTGTATGGAAATTTGTGTAGTCTTTCAACGTGTCTTCATGTATGTGATTTTGGATCAAAACGGATATTATTTTGTAAAGAGCACATGAAACTTCCTTTGCATTTTCTTTGTCTTTAAATTGATTGCACAACATTTTGTGTACCTTTGATTTTTTTTCATATTTATCAGCCAATGTTGTTTAATAATTTTATTCTTTTCTTTTGTACTGTTGTCGATTCATTTGATAATTTATTTAGTTTGTGAGTGATGTACAGAGAACTGATTAGTGTATAGAGATACTGGATGCTGGCCGTCCGATCTTTCTTGCTGACCGCAACATGCGTGCGAGCCACCGTGAGCCACTTGTGAGCCTCCCCAGCAATACATCACAATTGTTTTCTTTCTCATCTTTTATCATGGTTCCAAAAACTTATTTATTATTGTTTATTTATTTTTCTCTATTTTTTCCTTTTCTCCCCTTCTGTTGAGTTGGGCAAGCCTTGTGATATTTTCTTACATTTTGAAGTAGGTGTGCTGTTGGGGCTCAGTTGTGTGCTGTGTGTTGAATATGCCCGGCCACGGAGGGCCTCGTATGAACTTTTGAAGTTAACGTTCATGTAGAATGACAGCCACTGTTTTTAACAAAATGACTCCACACCTGTGAAGACTTAGACCCCACACGTTGACTTCAATCTTTCAGTGTGACATTCTGTAAATTGGTCGGGCTTGATGTTCTCCTGTCTTTTTTTTTTGTCTTTTTCGTTATTTTTTTTGTTTCATTATTTTTATAGTTTGCATGCACCATTGTTCCCACACCCTCAGTCCATGAAATGTGCTCTTAGCTTGCTGTGAGAAACGAAACATCCTGTGATCGGAACATTATGCTGAGAGTAAAATATATTGTGTTGCGGAATCAGAATCAGAACGCTGGTCGTGTCTGGATTTCTAATTTTAAGTTAAGCTTAATTATTAATTGAGGGAACCCTTACAAAATAAAAACTGTGCCCTTTAAGTACAAGCAGGGTTCAACCTGCCACCCAACCCGTGGCGACAACTCATAAGTCATTTTGCCGTTGCCAATATATACGAACAACTGTGTCAATGTAGATATCATCAAGCATCAATGCGATGAGTCCACAGGTTTTCTTTGTAGAATTTCTCTCATCCTTGTTCCCTGACCTTACAGGGATCATCTCTATGAAACCTGATATCTATTTTTTAACTCTTTTGTTAATACATTTTGTCATATAATGTATAAATCTACCTTGTATGTAATGTATTAAGATGATCATCATTCTTATTTCATGGTTTTTCTGTTTCATTAAGGGATCATCCACTGATTTAACAGAACGCTTCGTGTTAACAATTACTGTATTATTTCACTAGTTTGTAATGATGATTGTACTAATTCGTTAGCTCTGCTTGTTTGAGAATGTTGAAAAGTGAATCATTTTAATATATTCTGATCTATCCCTTCAAAACAGAGTCCCAATGTGACATTTCCTCAAACCTAACTACGCTGAGTTGTTTGTATTTGCTCTTGTTTTACACAGTAATAGTCCTGCTAATGGAGGACGTTTGCCAAAATGTAAAAAAATAACAGCCAGTGGCCATTGACAGAACTGTATAGTCAGAAGAACTGTTTAATTGCCAGCCTACTCCTTGGTGGTGCTTGCAATCAATGTGTTACATAACTTGCCATTTTCAAAGAAACCCCACCAAGAACTGAATGGTCTATAGTTATTTACGTGGTTGGAAAACATCAAAGTTGGCTTAACTGGCCTTCATTGTTACAGTAGAACAAAGTGTGGTGTGATAAATAACCCTTTAAAACCCGCCGTAGTCAAATGTAGTTAAAACACTTGCGTTGCAGTAGCTTAACTGTGTTAGGTAGGGGATTATTAAAAAGTGACATATGAGCTGATTGAGTCTTACCTGATTGCTTTTAAGTTGAGCGAGGCAAAGCATCCTCTCTTCTTGTGAACGTACTGTTTGTGTCTTTTTCATTGATTTAATTTTGCATACTCCATAACTATTGAGTGTGTATGTGACGTTTGTGTTGCCCTATCCTGTGCTCGATCTGCCGTACATAAGAAAAATAAACCCGTTCTTAATGTAACTCTGATATTTATTAAAACCACCCATTCAGAAACCTGACATTAAAATAGCAATGATCACACCTGAACCAGATTAAAAAAATTAAGCTGAAGAAATAGATCAAAAAACTATACCTTTAATCCCATTAAAGACTTATTCACCTGCATAGCCACATCTCTCTAGAAAAAAAAGGAGTGGGCGGGGGGAATGGGAAGGTCTCTTCTGTGGACAGCGCCCGGTAGGTAGACCACCGCTTCGACGTCACAGGGAAGACGTCTCCTCGAGGGCGCCTCGAGGGTAGGCCACCCATTCGACACGTGACATGAGGGCTGAACTGCAGAAAAGATGAACCTGCCTGGGATGCGAACCCGGGTGGTTCTCGTGGCAACTATCACTTCTACCAACCGAGCCACTGGAATCCTTCCAACGACGTTCGGGTTTAGTGTGAGTACGGATTTGAGAGGTGATCTCAAGAGGCGCAATACACTTCTCCTTACAGGCACGTCCCATAAAGGCCTCACCTTGGAGCACTTTGCTAGAAGCTTTGGTCATACCGCAGCAGTTTTGTATCTGCATGTGAAAATTCTGGTGCATGAAATAAATGGGATTCTCTTGACATGGGTAGTTTGATATGGTAGTACCAGAAATGCTCAGGTTTCTCTTAATTTCAGAGGGATTGAGAGGCTCCACTATTTTCTGTTAAGAAAGACATAGCAAGTCTAAGTTTTAACAGACTTGGGCAAAAAGCCTTATTCGCACCAAGAGAGAGCATTTAGTAAGCACAACACCAACTCATAAAAAATGGCATTTGCATACATCCAGCAAAGTTTCCTACAGATTTCAGAGAAACTATTTTTTGACTGCAACCAATATTGACACAATAGATATTTTCACTTAATGAGTTCAATTCAGAACTGATCTTTAATCTAAAGTCAAGAAGAGATGCCAGGAACTGGCATTTTATCCTTCAAAGCAGCGTCAACATTAATAGAAGATTCAAGTAAGACCTGAAGTTATCCAGTTCCTCCTCAGCCCATCGTCAAATATGGATTTGTACTTTTATACTGAGAAAATTCATTCTGGAGGATTGCCATCTAAGTTAATTTCCTGGGCAGCAACACTTCAAGATCAGTTAAAAAGTAGCAGAGTAATGCAAATCAATTAACTCAACTGGTTCAACAGATCAGACAAATTTTGGTTTCTCATTATGTCTCAAGTGCAGTCTACAGACCATAAGTAGCTGACAAAAGAATGTATTGCATATTATGAAGTTAATACCAGTAATGATCTACTGAAAATTAATGTATAAGGATTTGATGTTTGATAAAGAACTGCACATAAAAATAAGAAGTAGTCCACATTTAACTTTATTTCCTCCTGCCCCTCAATTTCATAATTTGTGGGTCGTCACAGGACAACCATACATATTAACCATTCCAACAAGACCAGAGAAACACAATCACTCATTCCACACCGCTGAGCTTAGTTTAAGGATTGTACAGTCTTTAAGTCTTCTATTCATCCCAGATGTCATGAAAGTCTTTAAAACTCCCAAATTCGACGACATTCTCAACATTAAGTGGCAAGGTTCCAAACCCATCTGATTGGGCCCAGTAATTGCACAAAAACAAAATAAACATAAAACTCGCACCATGGCATGCTGGATCCATTATGTTATAACAGTGAATGGAAAAAAATTAAAGCCAAATGAAATGTTCATTTAAGATGCAGATGGAATGATGAGGAATATCGTTTAACGAGATTCCTTGTCACACTCTCGGCTGATGTGACCAGTCTTCCCGCATGAATAGCACGACTTGACAGACCCCTCCGGGCAATCTCTTGCCATGTGCCCGCTCTTGTTGCAGTTGTAGCAAGACATGCTGGAGCGGCCGCCGCCTCCGTATCCACCATCACGCTGCTCAGGGCAGTCACGAGAGATGTGCCCGGTCTTGCTGCAGTTGTAGCAGGAAGGCTCGTTCGGGCTCTGGTTGCAGTCACGAGCAATGTGACCTACACCATTGCAGCGGTAGCAGCGGTCCTAAAAATTAGACAAAACAGATGTGCATAAGTACAGGCAAATAATTTAAATATAACGATTGAAAGAATAAAGCAGGAGGAGAAAAAAAAGAAGCGTCACATACACCGACCTGGTCTTCCTTGCATTCACGGGCGAAGTGGCCGAATCTGTTGCACTTGTAGCACTTGTCCCGGCCGCCGCCGCTGCCACCACCGCCTCCGCGGCTGCCGTAGCCGCCACCGCCGCCGCCGACCTGGCACTCACGGGCGTAGTGTCCCGGCTCGTTGCACTTGTAACACACGGAGCCGCTCATGGTGGCTCAGCTCAGGTGATGCGAGCTGGAACAAACAAGAGCCGCGTCAGGTTAGGTCCTAAGACCGGAACACAAACAAAAAGCTAGGTTAGGGCTCCCAAACCGGGCCAAGCCCCAACGACGCGCGAGCGAGGAAGCAGAATCTCAAAACCCCGTTCGGAAATGCACGGTGTTAATGATTCCCATTCGCACGGCGTCCGCACAAGCAAAGGCCTAAACGCACTGACCACGCTCCGGCAAAATCGATAATTACAACATACGGGATTTTGCGGCCCGGTTCCGCGGCACCGCAACTCAAGTTAATGAACTCCAAGTGGCAGAAATACTTCGCAGGGCGCCAAGAACTCAAGGCGGACACCGCACAGCCGTTAATGATGATAGCGTGCGTGGGCACATGACAACGCTAAGCTACGCGAAGCCAGAAACGGGCCAGGTGACGTCACGGGATACAAATCGAGCCGGGTTGTTTACCAAACAATCCGCACAATCGCAATTCGGACAAACAGAGCCCGCCGCGGGCAGGGGCAGGCCGAGCAGCCCAACTACGCCGCCAAAAAGGTAGCATCATCGGCGGCGTTAGGCGAGCCATAACCGCGCCAAGCTGAGAACGCCACGTGGAGGCGGAGATGCACTCGCCAGAAAAGCGGCCGCGATTTCGCACACTCGGCTAAAACGGCCGCATTTTATGTGAGGGACTGCGGCCCTGGGTCTGGGGGAGGCGATGAGCAACCCCTGCGGCACCAGGGTGCGGTACGTACCTTGAAAAAGTTAGATAACTGCACAAGTGCTCACTGCCGCTCCTCTCTGCCGGAACAACGCGCCTCCAAGGCCGAAAGGTTGGAATGGAAGGGGCTTTGCGACACGGCTCGGCTCGGCACCGGGATGCCTACGGCTCTTCAAAGCGGAGCGGCAGCAACACCGCCTTGTCCTCGCGCCGCGCCACTGCGAGCGGAGCAAGGCGCAGCGGCGCCACATTGCGGTTCGGCAGCGAGGCTAGCCTGGTATGAGAAACTGCGGCGGCGCGTGTTTGAGAGTTTTCGAATTGGAATGCAGGCGTGCGTCTGGCGTTTCTTTCTGAGACGTGTTTCTGAGCCGGGAGAGGGAATTCGGACAAGGCTGGTAACTTTTGGACAAGATTTATTTCTCCGCAACGAAAATAACACACGTATTGCTTAGGAATTACATAGGAAATTATTTTAGGGAATGACAAAGAAGTTGTCAGCTTGGGAAGGTCGGGAAACGCATGTCTGTCTTGGCCAGGTTCTCCGCGATCCACCGGTCCGCCTGCGCCTCTAGCTCCGGAGTGAAGTAGTTTGTCCAGCCGCCAACGCCACCTGAAACACGAGGAGAATGTGTTTTACACAAAGGAAACATTCAGGAGGCTGATTCCGAAAAATCTTTTCGTCGCCCTGTCACTCTCACACTCATGGGGTGTCCCGTATGAGTGCGAGAGGGACCGAGCGAACTTATTCTTTCCAATACCTTTGCGGATGAAGCCCTCCTCCTCTTTGCGCATGATGCCCAGCTCGAACAGTCTCTGCGAGTTGACGGCGCGGTTCTTCCTGAAGTTGACGATGTCCAGGTGATCCGCCAGGCTGGCCACCTGCTCGTCGGTCGGCTCCTTCTCCAGGAAACTGGCTACCTTCCTAATAGCAGCCGGAGTATCCTTCAAAAAAATTAATTTTGTTAAAACAACGAACAAATTTTTAAACTTTTAATATTATGTTGCAGGGGACTTACTCTACTCATTTCTTCATAAAACATGAAGAGCATCCTGGGATGCGTGCGTCGCTGCCACCCCTCCTCCAAGTGCGACCAGTAGGGGGTCCAGGCGTCTGAAACCACAACCACGGTTCCGAGGTGGAAAAAAAAGGCCAAGGGAAAGCACAGCGAACCGGAGTGATGGACACTTACGGAGGTCGTTCTGGAAGTAGTTCCAGTACGTCTCGAAGTCCCCGTTGTAGCCCTGGGTGCGAATCAGGCGGTTCATGTGGAAGAAAGACACGGCCACGTCCTTCGGGTTGCGCGCCAAGTAGATCACCTAATTTAAAAAAAAAAAAAATTGAAATTTAGCACCTTGCATTTTTAGTTTTTGCTGTTGTTGTTACTCCCCCACCTTGGCGCCGCAGGTGAGCAGGTTCTTGGGCAGCAGCGTGAAGGGCAGGTGGGTCTTGATGAAGCGCGGGCCCTTCATGTCGGCGAGCAGGCGGTACCCGGGCACCGCCATGGCCAGCACCTCCTTCTGCATCTCGGGGTCGCCGGCGTTCTCCTCCAGGAACTCCCTCTTCGTGTCCTCGTGGATGAAGCAGTTGAACCTGTGAGGAGATTTCCAGTGCAGGGCCATGAACCGAACACCCCTCCAACCCAGGTGCGGATCCAGGATTTTTTTTAGGCTTTTTGCCTACTTACAGGGGCAAAGCAGTTCCTTTTGCCTACCTGCCAGGCGGCCTATCTCGTACCCAAGCAGAGGGTCATCACCCCACTACCCCTTCCCTGGACTGCAGACTGATTCCGAGAGCCGTTTTCGTCGCTCTGTCTCCCTCGCACTCGTGGGGCGTCCCCTATGGGTGCGAGAGAGACGGAGACACTTACTCGAAGAAGGGGAAGCGCTCGTTGAGGTCGACGGACTTGGCCGTCTGGAAGTCCATGTCGTTGGCCAGCAGCCACACCATCTCCTGCGTCCAGGTGGTACCGGAGCGCGGGTACGTCACGACCCAGGTGTCGGTGGCGCGCGGCTGAAAGTTGACGAAGTGCGGCATCTCGGTGGCGAACTTGCTGGGCAGGAAGTAGCCCTTCTCCGACACGCGCACGAAGCCGGTGCGCTCGCCCGTGAAGTCGCGCAGCAGGCGGTGGTGGGCCTCGCCCGTCACCCAGCGCACCACCGGGCCGGCGGGGGGCGCCTCTGCACGGGGAAGTCCAATGTGACCACCAAACAACAACAAAAACTTGAAGGGTCCGGTATTTGAACCCGGGTATCCGAACATACCTGCAGCATTGCTTGCATGTTTGCCGCCGATGGACTGCGGCGGCAGGGCGTGTCTTGTCAGAGCGTCCGCACTCATGGTCTGAGAAAAAGAACAAAACTTGAAAAGAAATCCGTGGCGAAAATTGGTCGGAAAGGGTGGTATTTGAACCCAAGGCCGGCGAGTGAGAGTGCGTGCATACCGGTGCGCGTTCGCAACTTGCGCCACTACAAGTGTCCCGAGCGGCACTGCCGACTCGTGCGCCTCGCATCCTTCGCCATCCTCCACCTGGAGCCCCACTCCGGGGCAGGGGGAGGGGGAGGGAGGGGGGCGTAATCGACGACAATGTCTCTCCGCCGCGCGACTCTGCACGACTCCGGCGCGGTGCGCGGTGCGCGATGCAAGGCCGGAGACCGCGGAGACCCCTTCTCCAGCGGGTCCCCCGTTTTGGCGGCAAAAACGTGGAAAGTTCCCCGCGAGACTGAGATGAGGAGGGAGGAATCGACTCGCTCCAGGGGTCACATTGTCGCACGTGGAAGTGTAACCCGCGGTAACCCGCGGTAACCCGTGGTAACCCGCGCGGGGGCGCCGGCCGGGTTGCTCGCCTCGCCGATTAAAATTCGACGCGGCGGGAAAACACTGACGGACTCACACGCGGCGCGGCGAGCACGGCAGCACGGCCGTCTTATCCGTCGCGGGGAATCGGAGACCGTGATCGAACACGGTGTCGTCCTCTGTCTCTCCCGCAGGGGTTCGAGAGAGACAGAGCGACTTACACGACGATCGGAATCAGTCCACTGGCGCCGCTGTCGCGTGCGCACCGCGTCCATGAGAGTCCTGTCCGTCCTGTCCGCGGCGGTCATGTTCCTGGCTGCGGGAGGGGAGGCGGACTGGGGGCAGTACGGCCTCAGAAGCGTTCAAAAATTTTTTGACGCGGAAAAGAGAAAACTGAGAGGCGGACATTGGCGAATGACAATGACACGATAACTCACCGCTGCGCTGCACTCGGCGCTGCAGAGGCTGGAGTCACTCCAGTGGTGTGTCCTGGAGGCTGCAGTGGCTGCAGTGGCTCCAGCGTCTCCTACACTGGGCCGTACTGGGCCGCGGGCGACCGGTGCGGCTTGAGCGAGTCACGCCGTCTCGCTCGCACGCTCCAGGACTGCAGTGCGAGTGAGAAAGACGACTGGTCCCGACCAGCAGGACTGACCCGCAGCCCGCCCAAACGAAAGTGACTCCTCTGACGCAGGTCCACTGGACAGAGCGGCACCGCGACAGAAAACGGCGCGGGCAGAACGGCGGGCGAGTCGCTCTAGAGCCTAGAGAGACGCCAGGGAGACGGCAGCATGGCAGGCCTCTCCAGCGCTAAGACCTCTGGAGTGGCACACTTATTGCGCGACTGTTGCGCGCCAAGTTGCAAGACAGTGAAAGTGGCCAGCCGCCTGCTGCCGAAGGATCGCTCGCTCTGTCTCTCTCGCACTCACGGGGAGTCCCGTAGTCCCGTGGGGGTGCGAGAGAGACAGAGCGACGAGACGAGCCTTCGGAGTGAGGCGGCAGGCCGCGGCTTGGAGGCCTGGGGAGGGCGGCGCCTCGACACACAGCCCAACAGCCTCTTTGCACGCCATTTCGCAGTGTTGTGACGATCTCTCTCTCGCACCCCTGCCTGCCCCTGCCGAGCGCCTCAGGGGGAGCGAGTGAGACAGAGCGACGAAACCACTACTGTTCGGAATCAGTCCAGGCCGCGCTGTACGGGACCCAGCGAGATCAAGGAGCCACTCTGACGCTCGCGCCGGGAAGGTGGACTTCCCTTTCCACACTCCGCGCTGCATCCACAGCACGAGCTTTAGCAATCACGGTTGAAAATGGACAGTCTGCCGACCTCCGCGTTGTCCCAGGCACAATTTGACGATGGAAACACCATTTCTCCCATTCTTTCTCTTTGAAGGGTCCCGGTCCCAAGTTTCAAGGAAGCTAATGCAACAAACGCCACCAGCGCACTGTTGTCCAAAATAGTTTGTACTATTTTCTATGGAAATGTTTGCTCAAATAATGAGACAAAAGATTGTTTTGCATGAATAAATTTAATAAAAAATACTCCCTCCAGTACATTACAATTATGATCAAATATCAACAGTTGTATGAATTCTCGGGTAAGTGCTACAGCACAGCTAAGGCAGGTTTTGGTAAAAATATTTAATTTATTTTGAATGAGAAATGAGAAATGACAGCTGACATAATGCACATAAATCACAGACACAAATACACTGGGGATTGTCTCTCAAACAATAATAAGGTAATGAATAAATTACAGACCAATGCAATGTTACTTTGCAGTGCACACTTGTGAAATCATAAACATAACTTAACAAATTTGTTAGAAGAAGAACAAGTTCAGAAATGCATTATTAAGTAGTAACAATCTTGCTCCATAGCAAAATATTAAATGTTGGTGGAACAGTGAAGTTAAGCAAAAAGGCACTGACAGCCAAAAGCGAAATTTATTGATTATTCTTTCATGGCCTCTTCAGAAGGCATAGGGGCGGCACCGCCAGCGTCATCCTTCTTCTTCTTTGATCCGGAGACAATGTCATCGATCCTCAAGAGGAGGATGGCAGTCTGCAATAAAGGGGAAAAGTCATCATTTCACCAACTTTTCACACCACTAGTTACAGTGGATAACATAAGGGCATGGTGTCAGACACTCACCTCAACAGCTGTTTTGTAAGTCTGAAGTTTGACAGACAAGGGCTCCCACACACCAAGCTCCTTCATGTCAACAAGCTGTCCAGTTTCACCATTGATACCCCATGTGCTTCCACCTGCAAGAAAATCAAATTGTTAAAAAGAGAAATGAACTTTTACGTAACTGACAAAGAAGCACAGCAATTTTGAGAATGAAACCGTGCTCAGAATCTGAACTTGCCTGCAGCATGTTTCGCTCGCAACGCTGTAAGAGTTCGGATGGTGTTGGCTCCACAGTTTTGAGTGAGGGTACGAGGGATGATCTCTAGAGCTGAGGCAACAGCACGGTACGGCCACTGGGAAACACCCTGGATGCTCTTCCCTTTCTCTGCCAAAGCCTACAAAAGCAAAAAATTTAGCACTGGGCCTTGCAACACTTTCACAGTGAACAATAATAAAAAGGGAATGTAAATACCTGAGAAACAGCCATCTCCACAGCACCACCTCCTGGCACAAGCCTGGGCTCCATCAGGATGTTACGAGCCACATGCAGAGCATCTTGCAAATTTCTCTCAGTTTCATTCAAGACATCTTTGCTTGCACCTCTAAGCAAAATAGTGCAAGCTTTAGGGTTTTCACATTCTGTTACATAGCAGAAATATTCATCACCCATCTGCAAGGAAACGGGTTTTGTAAGTACACGTTCACAAAGGTGACCACACCAAAATTCGGAAAATAACAACAAACCTTTTTGATTTCAAAAAGACCAGCCTTTGTACCGACATCTTCTTCCTTAAGCTCATCAGTTCGGTTCACCACGGTAGCTCCACAGGCACGAGCAATACGGTTGTTGTCGGATTTGCGAACTCGGCGAACGGCAGAGATTCCAGCCTGAATGAAAGGCAATAAATATTATTATGATCCAATTAATTAATTGATGGCTGCCAGTGAAAGACTAAAAACATACCTTTATTAAGAAATGTTGAGCTAAGTCAGAGATGCCTTTTTCAGTGAAAACAACATCAGGCTTAACAGCAATAATGTCAGCACAAATCTTCTGTATATATTCTTCTTCTAGCTGCAGAATTCGAGTGAAGTCTTCCTCTTTCATAATCTCAATGTTAGTCTGGCTTTCACCCTTCTTGTACTCCAAAGAGCAATCCAGTAAAACAATTCTTGGTTTTTCAATGTATCTTTTCATTTTGGGATGAGTGACATCCTTGTTAACCATAACACCACTGAGAACTGTGCAATCTTCCATGCTTCCACCAGGGATCTTCTCCACCTTAGCATAACGCTTGATGTCAATTTCCTTGCGACCGTTTTCATCAAGGGCAACAGTTTGAACGGCATCGAGAGCAATAGAGCAGGCCATATCTGACCAGCGACCAATGAATTTAGTTCCTACACAAGACTTGATGACCTCAAGGAGCTTAGGACGGTCATTTACATCAAGTTGAATGCTGAAACAAAACAGAGAAGGGGAAAAACTAAAGTAAGAAAAGGCCAAGAAGAAAATTTTTACAAGATTGAGCAAATAAGGGAGGAAACTGTTCTCACCTAACTTTGTCTTCCAGAATGCGGATCATGTCTTCTAAGGCCTGTCGGTATGAGCGAATGATAACAGTTGGGTGCATTTGCTGCTCAAGGAACTGCTCAGCAACACTGAGCATCTCACCTGCAAGTACGATAACTGAGGTGGTGCCATCTCCAACCTGAAGTCAGATAAGTACAGAACAAGATAATTACACTGCAGTATACCCACAGAAGAAAACAACTGGAAACCACACTAAAAATCACAGATCAAAAATAGTGACAGAACTCGTAAAAATAATATTTTGGCTCAACCTTTCAGATACAATATTTTGTCATCAATGATTGTGACAGAACTCTAACCTGCTAAGTTTGTATCATCACTAAGACTGTCCAAGAAATTCCATTCGGGCAACTTGTCAGATATAAACCCCTACACACATAGCACCTCTCAGGAAGAAAAAAAAAATTGTTCATCAAAAAATGTGACAGACCTCTAACCTGCTAAATTTGAATCATCACAGAGGCTCATACAAATAATTACCACTTGGAGAATTCCCATTAAGTTCTACTCTTTATACCCTAACATCTACACAAAATATTGAGGATTCAAGGTTTCAAAAAAAGTAATCACAGTGGATACAGAGTCCAAACATTCAGTGTCGGGATGAAAAAGAAATTTGAGGACCAAAAAGATCTAATTCACAGGCTCAACCTTTCAGATACAAAATGTTGTCATCAAAGATTGTGACAGAACTCTAACCTGCTAAGTTTTGTATCATCACTAAGACTGTACAAGAAATGTCATGCAGTAAATTTAGCAGATATCACCTCCTGCTCACATAGCACCTCTCAGGTAGAAAATATTAACTGTTCATCAACAATTGTGACAGACCTCTAACCTGCTAAATTTGAGTCATCACAGAGGTTCATACACACATATACCATCTGAAGAATTTCTGCTAAGTCTTCTATTTAAACCCCAACATCTCCACAAAGTATTGAGGATTCTAGGATCATTTTAAGTATCACAGTGGATAATGTGTCGAAAGATTCGAAAGATTCGAAAGATTCAGTTCCAAATGAATAAACATTGAAGTCTATGAAGGCCTAATACTGGTCCAAAACTTTCAGATACAAAATGTTATCATCAAAAATTGTAGCAGCACTCTAACCTGCTAAATTTGTATCATCACTAAGACTACACATGATATTCCATGCAGTAAATTTATCAGATATCAACACCTGCATACATTGATCCTCTCAGAAAAATATTCTGTTCATCAAAAAATGTAACAGACCTCTAACCTGCTAAATATTTTCATCATAGAGGCTCTTACTAAAATATACCACCTGAAGAATTTTTAATCAGTTCACATCCTGATATCCCAACATGACTACAAAGAATTGAGGATTCAAGCCCCTGCTGAGAATTGTCAAAGCAGTTCACATAAGTAATGTCTAAATAATAATATTAATCAAGAAGTAATTGAATAAAACAAATACTGAATAAGACAAAAAATTCATTGTTTAACATGATAAATAGATCATCAATGCCGTGAAAAATCCCTCAGCTTCTATATGAGAATCATCAAAATAACTCCGCATAAAATTTGCACAATGAAGAAAATTATCTTAGATCTATTGTCACAAATTATTGGGAGACTGTACTTGCCTCTTCATCCTGGGTGCGAGCAATTTCAATCATCGACTTGCCAGCAGGATGCTGAACAGTGATTTCCCGAAGAATTGCATTGCCATCGTTGGTCATGACAATGCCGCCCATGGGGTCCATCAACATCTTCAACATAGCTTGCGGTCCAAGACATGTTCGAATGACATCAGCGATTGCCTGTCACAGAAAGAAGAATTGTTCATTTCAACTGACTTAGCTTAAGCAGAAATCGATGCCGGTTTATGACAATCAAGAGAGGTCAGAAGTTCCATTGAAAAGGAGTACATGAGTGAGTCATGTCATGTGATCAGGTAGCTCATTGATTGTCAACAGATAAAAACAACTGTATAGGGGAGGGAGACTCATCTCAAAAAGTTTAGCACGGCTGAGCTTCTACTTAGGCGGGTATTACGGGTAAGAGACTTGCAACAGAAACACTAAGACGAAAAAGGGAAAAGAACAAAGAAAACCTAACCTAAGATAAGCACACTGCATAAAGAATAATAGAGGTGTAGGAAAGGGTGCGACAGCCAATCGAGATCTCGGAAACGGCTGGGAAATGCAAAATTCACTGCGGAAAGTAAAAATTAGGTCCAAAAATAAGAAAAAACATCGGAAGTTCATTACCTTGCCCGCGTTGATGTTCTGCAGCTGTACTTTGCGGCCCGACTCGCGCTTAGTATTTTGGCCTGAATGAGACAAAAAGTTCAACAATGTTAGCAAAGCGACGAAAATAACCATAAAGGCTGAGATAAACTCGAAATTAATACGTACTAAGCACCAAAATAGGTGCGGATCCTCCGAACATTTTAACGTCTGTATCAAAAACGTGCAGCCGGTTCCCTTCACTACCAAGAAGAAATGAACATCGAAAGTGCGCAGTCTTTTGATGACGCTGCGAGACTAGTGGTATGAGAAGAGTTTTGGGACCGGAAGTGATTGTTTAGTGGAGATTGACCGGACGCGACACAGGATTGGCTGCCGCTTCCCCCACCCCTCCCTCACTGCGTGTGGCGCGTAGTTTCGATGGTGAGATGGAAAGTGATGGTCGAGTCAAGAGAATCTCTTGTCGAGTCGTATGGATGGAGGGGCAGATCTCTGTGAGGTAAAGTCCAGATCCCCCCTCGTTAAAGAAAGAATTAAGGACTCGTTGTTTAAAAAATATTTTGTATCCTTTTTTTTTATCAATTTATTATTGCACATCTTTTCATTAACAAATAATCAGATCAAACAAGTGACACGTAACATTGGGCATCTGAACTTGACAACGAAATAAACTACAGTAGGATTTCAAAACGCCTTCTAAATTTGGCTGATCTAGGGAGTTGTAACATTCACATTACAAGTTTGTTTGGTTGCACCAGGCCCATTCTAAAGTTAAATGGCACGTTTTACATCCTACTAGGATGACTAGAGTCTGTCGAGGACAGATTGAAATCCCACTGTATCGTAACAACAAAAATGAGACTAAATTAAAATTATACAGCCATCATATGGTATACAGCCACACTCATAAACATTAACATGGTATATATGTATATATGTACACAAATTCAATGCGAGTGTGCATAGGTCAGAACAGAGTATTACACGAAACTTTAGATTAACTCTTTGGCAGGGACATATGGCAGCATTCTTAAACTTTTATTGAGACAGTATGACTTTGAATTGGACTGGCTGGACTTACAAAGCATGGGGCAAGTACAAAATGGAATGAGTCTAAGCTAAGCTACCAGCAAATACTGTCACAGCTTGCTCTCTTGTCTTGCACATTTTCCATTAAAAAATGATGAAAAGAAATGTTCTGTAACAGATTTTGTTTAAATGTTGTATGCCTCTTTAAATTGCATACTACTTTTAGCTTCTTCAGTATATTATGTTACAAAAATATAAAATGAAAAATTACCTCCCAAAATCAAAACCCTATTATGTGGCAGATTTATTGGTGATCGAGATTGCAATTTTATTCGTTAATGTAATTTTACCCCAAACACAAAAAGATGGCATCACAAAATTTGTAACTCACAGCGTATGATTTTATTATCAGATAAGCAGGTGCGCCCACCCTTATGGTGCACACATCCAAATCTTTAACATTTCACATAATTCAGTATACATTAGGAGTTGGCGATTAAATTAGGCTTGCAATGAAGCTACTAATCAGTCACCTTTGACAATCAATGTTCTTATAAAAGGAAAAAATAGAAATCAATAAATAACAAAATTGGTAAAAGAACAAAACAACTGATCCACAAAGTGGCAGATTCCTAGAGGTATTGTAAAGCTACAACCCTTCCCATTGTTCCCTAGTATTGACTTCAAACTGGTATAGGCTTGGGAGAACTCATGAATAAAAATGATGATGAGAGATGCTCTGACAATTGATTTAGGCAGATGTGAGAGACCAGTAGTCAATTGATTACTGTCCCATGATCATGGATGGAATAGTATCACATGAGCTCTCAACTCTGACTTCCAGCCTTGGCAAAATAAAATTTTTGATTGCATGACAATAAAATAACAACGTGATCAGCTATTTTAAAAAACAAGAAAAAAGGTGTTCTGCATAATTGCTGCATGCTAAAAAAAATTGTGAGTAAACAAATAACTGCGCAGTATATTTTTGTAAGCTCACAGCAAAAGCATCACAAAGTATACATTTGTTGAGTGATCAAAAAAGAAAAACAATTGAGGAATGAGAAGTAAGATAGAGCACCAATTAATGTGTGGTTGTATGCTATAACAAAACAATAATGAAGAAATTCAATCAAAAAACAATAAACAGTAACATTTGTGCTATTACTAATAAAAGCTATAACTCAGTCATAAAACTACAATGAGTTGACCGGTAAACAAATTGAAACGCTCTCACTGTAAAGAAAACCTTGAGGTAAACAACACATATCACAACATAAATCACAATCTATAACAAGCTATCATAAAATCATTCCTATAATTAACTAGGATCACATGGGTGGCTAGCTGAGATATAGGTTCCACATGTTCTTCAGCATAGCTGCAACACGCAAACATCGAGGGAAGAAAATGCAAACGTAACAGAGCTCTTGCAAATTCATCACAAACAATTTTCTTTTTGAAAACGGGTGTAACAGTTGTGCAGCAAAATCTTTGCAGTTTGCATATCTGCCTTTCCTGATTTTTTTAAAAGGAATCCCAAACCAACACTAATAGAACGCATGGATCAAACAATACTGCAATAGAATATGAATACCACAGTATGACATCACAGGAAATACCCCAGTCATACCCTCCGTTTAAGGCTCTTACGTCTATTTTTACACAGCAAATAATGGACAGACTTATTTTCAAGTCTAAACACCTAAAATAACATATGTTTTTTTTTACAGTTACAACATTCAGCTGGAATAGATACTACGGCTGTAAAACTAAATATGTATACATTTTTCCCTTGTATTCTTTACATGATCAAAGAGGTTTTGTGGCACAGAGCCACCTGTACAGGCAAATTTACAAGGCTGCTCGCTTGGCTTGGAGGCGTGAAGTCTCGATCAGATGGGAGTCGGCAGGGTGGGGCGGACTGCGCCGTAGATGGCCCTGCTGGAGCCGTTGCCCTCCTCGCACAGTGTCTGCAGTTTACTGAGGTAACTGTCAAAGTGTTCGGGTCCGACCCTCATATCTCTCATGTCCCTCACGTCACTGTACGGCAGGTGCGGCTGCCCACTGCCGACGTGGCCTACACTGACGCCGCCGTTGCACCCGCCGGGGATGCGCACGTGCTCCAGCAGCGTCATCACGTTGTTGCGGAGGTTCTCGTAGTAGTCCGTCAGGTTGGACCCTCGCGGAACCTGCGGCACCAGCTGGGGTTCCTGCATCAGAGACCGCCGTTAGCACTGGGACCACCATCTCGGGCGCCGCCTGGCGGGTAGGTGACCCATCGGCCGCCGCCTGGTAGGTAGGTGACCCATCGGGCACCGCCTGGCGGGTACGCAGCCCATCGGGCACCTTACCTTGTCGTGCCGAAGGTGCGCCTCCATGGCCGTGATGTCGGTGCGCAGGCGCAGCATCTGGGACTCGACGCGCGCGTTCTCGCGCTGGAGCTCGGTGATCTCGGCCTCGAGGACGTTGATGTCCTCCCCGCCGGCTCCGACTCCCACATGGTGCGAGCTCACCTCCATCAAGCCTGGAATCAGCAAGGAGAGGACGCCGTCAGCGCGGGCGGAAAAACGAGTTCTCTCAAACACACAAACACACGCACAGAGCACAGAGGAAGCGGGCTAGTCGAGGGTGACGGTCGTGCTTCATCATGGCCTCATGTCGTGGACCAGCGCGCCCACTGGACGCGCAACCACGAGGGGTTGCCTATCTACCAGGCAACCTCTTGAGCATCCAAGAAGGGAACGGTGACGGATGCGCCAAACAAGCAAAATTCAAGCGATAGGCAAAGTAATAGCTACTGCAAAATCGATGAATAACTTGCTATCAGGCGTTAATAAGCTACCAAATTGACAGCCACCTTGTTGCGTTCTATGGGAGCATGCAGACACAGGCAACGAATACAATCCAAACTAATATGAAATCAACCACACAAATCACTCTATTTTGAACACACCATACCGTAAATGTTTTACTCACCAGCATAATTTATTTGCAGTGTAGGGACTGGGGAAGTATGCCGAGTTTCCATAAGTTAGTCCATACTGCAAACAAATTGCGCTAGTTAGAAATTTTTTCCAGGGTTAACCACCACATCCACGGATATAACTGTGTGACACTAGAGACGCATCAAAAACTCGAATCAATATTAGTTAAACAGTTTTAATACAAACTAGTTCTAGAAGTTCCGAAAAGATAGGTTGATAATTTACAAAAAATAAAATAGTTGAGAGTTTAGTGGAGCTTAGACATACTTCCAACCATAATATTGTTTGGATTTTATTTCACTTATCCTACTGAACCAATCATAAGACTAGAATCATCACCCTATCATTACTGCATCATGAGATTATTTTGCACTGCAGTGAGTAACGCAACTAAAGCAAAACAAAAAACAAAAAAGAAAACGCCCCCGCTTTCTGCCAATGCGTTCGCGTGCCGGCTGAGACAGAACGAGTCTAGCTCCTCTCTAGAGACGCGTAGGAAGGCGAGAAAGGAAGGCCTACGGCTCATGCGACCTAGAGAGATCTAGAGAGACCTCGAGCCTCTCCAGCGAGATCCCTCGGAGTGCCAGGACTCGCCTCGACGACGATCTAGAGAGCCTAGAGAGAGCACCGGCAAACGGCGACCACCCCGTCCGTCAGACTCACCTGGCCCCTTTCCGTACATCCCGCTCATGTCCTCGGGCGGCGGCGGGTACTTGCTGAAGCCCTTCTTGAGGTTGCTGCCGGCGCCGAGGTTGGTGCTGCCCGTGGGGCCGGAGCCCGTCGGGTTGCTGGAGGGGAGGCCGCCGGAGACGACGCCGACGCCGCCGGGCCCGGGGACCGGCCCCAGTCCGCGGTGGCTCAGGAAGGCGCCCGTCACGTGGCCCTGCAGCGAGTCGCAGGGATCCGAGACGGACACGCCGCCGCCGAGGCCGCCGCCCACGCCCGAGCCGAACTTGATGGCGGCCACGGCGGCCTTGTGCTGCTCCACCGTGCCGCCGCTCTCCAGCACGCGCATCTTGTTGCGGTTGGCGATCGGGCAGCCCGACGCGCTGCAACACCAGGACCAGGCCGTTGACGTCCACGTCGTGCTACCACAGTGGATTTGCCAGAAGACCGGCGGAGGCGGCCAAAACCCCGGACGGGTTTTGTGCTCCAGAGTCGCTAAATGGTACTCGAACCAAACGTGTGACCCCACCAATGGATTGCTCTCCGAACGAGGAATCCATTGGTGGGGTCACACGTTCGGTTCGAGTCCTGTTCAGCGAGAGAGAGGGGACTCACCTTCTATGCGACAGGAACTTGCCGGTGGAGTGCCCCGAGCCGTCGCAGCCGGGGATGGGACACCTGAAACACGACAGCGCCACCGTTAAATTGGCCACCTGGTTCGGGTACCGCAAGACTCTGTAAAATTGGTAATTACTGCCTGACGCACCTGAGAGGCTCAGAATCCTGGCCATCTCGGGGTTTGCTCTTGGGTTTGTTTGCCCGCGGGCAGCCGGACAGACTCCGGTGTGAGGAGTAGTTGCCGGTCACGTGGCCCGAGCCGTCGCACCCCGGCGTGGGGCACTTGAGCTCCTGCGAGTGGGGCTGGATTTGCGACCGGTCGCTGCGCGGGCAGCCGGGTAGCCTGTAAAGCGGGAAAGAAGACAAGGCGGTGGTGTTATTGCGAGGCAGGGCAGGCGCGGGTCCAGATGGGGGTAGTTGCTCCCTACTGAAGGTAGGCCAAACGCACCCCCTCCTTGGGCCCTGGATCCGCGCCTGAGACAGGACACGCGCGGGGCTCGGACTGGCCTTTCGAACTCACCCTTCCGTCTTGACGCCGTCCTTGTCGAGCGAGCCGACGCCGTGCGGGTGGCCGGGGTGGCCGGGGTGCGGGTGGCTGGGCGGCGGCATGGAGTAGCAGGGCTGCGGCGAGTAGCTGGCCACGTGGCCCGGGTAGGTGGCCGGGTAGCCGCTGGTCCCGCAGTAGTTGCCGTACGAGTACGAGCTGCCCGGGTAGTCGCCGCCCAGGTTGGGGCCGCCCAGGCCGTAGCCGTGCGCGGCGTGGGCGGCGTGCGCGGCGTGGACCGGACTCATGCCGCCGTAGCCTGCAACCAGGCCAACGAGCCGCCAAGCTCAGTCACAACCTTTCATCTCTCTCACACGCGAGCTCCAGAGTCGCCAAACGGGACTCGAACCGAACGTTTTACCCCACCAATGGATTGCTCTCCGAACGTGGAATCCATTTGCGGGGTCACACGTTCGGTTCGAGTCCTGTTTAGCGACTCTGGAGCTCAAAACGCGTCTAGGGTTTTAGCCGCCTCCACCGGTCTTCCGGCCCACTGTGCAGTGCGCCAAGCGGCGCGCGGACTCACCGTTGGCGTCCCTGTAGTCCAGGAAGTGGCCCGCCGACGAGTCCGGCGACGAGTCCCGGGAGTAGCCGGCGGGTCCGGGCGGGGGCGGCGGCCCCGCGGGTCCGGCGGGGAACCGCGCCATGGGCTGCCCGGGGAAGGGCACGGCGGACACACTGTCCGGCGCCGTCGAGAAGTCCACCGGCTCGGTCTGCTCGTACCGACCCACCTCGCCGCCGTACATGGGGCTGGGCCCGTCGCTGTGGAATAAGCACAGCTCACTCACTTTCTCAAACTGAACAAAAACGACAGAAATAAACCGGAAAAGTGCCAGGGCGGCAGGCTGGGACTACCCCGAGTGGTGGTTGTGTAAGTTGGGTTGCCGATCCGACCGGGCTGAGGTAAGCTCTACTCTAGAGGCGGGAAAGTAGGCAACCCAACGCCCTTTTTCGCGGTGCGGCCAAACTAATCATGCGTCAGGAGTTGATAGCTCAGCGAATGGGGGGTCTTAAAATCGCAGACGCCGAGAGTGGCGTTCGCCGTTTACAAAGTCGCGTCACTTTACTAGGCCCGTGCCGCCTGCACTGAGAAAACAAACTCGGAGAATGACTTTGACGGTCACAAATCGCGGAGTGAGTTGTCGAGAAGACAATCTCTCCACAATTTTATCGCGGACTTCTCGACGTTTGCTTCATGAACACGGACAGGATGGCTAAGAAATTGATGCGTTTTGGATGTGGGGCGCAAAGGCCACACTGTGGGAGTTCTCCGCGTCGGGCTTCCAGTGCAGTGCTGCGTCTACGCCACTCTACGCCCCAAGCGTTCCCTCGTCCCCCGAAGCGCCCCGAAGGCTCAAGGTTCCAGGGCTGCAAAGTGTCCTGCGAGACACTCACCTCGCTCTGCTCACGCTGAGGTCGTGGGGCTGGCTTGGGGAGGGCACAGAGGGCGCCTGGGCCAGGGCCTGGGCCAGGGCCTGGGGGGACTTGGCGTGGAGCGGCGAGCTGGCGGCGCGGGGGACGACGCCCTGCTCGAGGCTGGGGGCGGGGTTCATGGGCTGGGCGGGGCCTGGGGGGCCGGGCGCGACCGCGGCCACGGGGGTCTTGGGCTGGGGCGAGTCGTAGTGGGGGCTATATGGCGCCTGGCCCTGGCTGCCCTGGCCGCTCTGGCCGCCGTGCTCGGGGTAGCCCATGCTTCCCATCCACGGCGTGGTGCGCTGCTGGTCTGGCTGGTCGTACCGGTCGTAGGCTGGGGTGGAGACGCTGGCCTGGCCCGCCTGACCGATGGGCGGCGTGCTGCTGTCGTAGGGCCTGCTGTCGTACGGCCCCACGGGCACCAAGCTCCCAGGCACGCCGACGGGGCCCACGCCGACGGCGCCCACGCCCACGCCGACGCGCAGCCCCAGGTCCGGGTACGACACCACCGGCCGCTGCACCGACTGCACCGTCTGCACGCCGTACGCGCGGTGGACGTCGTCTGGAACAACAGTGAGTTCAGTTAGCCTCGGCGTCGACACGAGAAACGGAGCAAAGTCCAAGGAATCGGCCTTACCTTCGCTGAACCTGCCGGCGCGCTGATACATGTCCTCGCCCGCCGTCACGTCGTACGGCGGCCGCTGCGCCATCTGGTGGTCGACCAGCGACATGGAGTACGAGTGTTGTTGTTGTTGCTGCTGCTGCTGCTGTTGTTGCTGCTGTTGCTGCTGTTGCTGCTGTTGCTGCTGCTGCTGCTGCATGCTGTGGGTCGGCAGGTGGTGCGGCGAGGGCTGCGGCAGATGCGAGGGCAGCATGGAGCCCGGGGACCGCATCGTGTCCATGCTGGACATGGACGACGAGTTGGAGTCCTGGTTGCTGAGGTACGCCTCGTAGCTCGCCTGCTGCTGGGCCTGCTGCTGCTGCATGATCTGGGAGTGCTGGTGCTGCTGCTGGCGCACGGCCTGCGCGGGCTGCGGCGACGCCGACCTGGTGAGGGAGGCCTCCGATTTCGGGACGAGAAGGTTCAGTCGGTTGTGTCCGGGAAGCTCGCCCACTTCTTTCTTCATGCTCTTCACCAGGTCCTCCGTCTTCTTCTGCTGCTGCTGTTGCTGCGTTTGTTGCTGTTGTTGTTGCTGCTGCTGTTGCTGTTGTTGCTGCTGCTGCTGTTGTTGTTGCTGTTGTTGCTGCTGCTGCTGTTGATGTTGCTGTTGCTGCTGCTGCGTTGGTGAGGGCTGGGTGGGGGTTGGGGGTTGCGGTAAAGGCTGCGGTTGAGAGGGTGTTTGACTTTGAGACTGTTGTTGTTGTTGCTGCTGCTGTTGCTGAGCTTGTTGCTGTTGTTGCTGCGGCGGCGGTGCCTGGGTCGGCACGGGCTTGTAGAAGGGCGACTCTGTCGAGTCCTTGACGCCGTAGAGCCAGGCGGGCTTGGGGACGGGCACTCCGGGGAAGGTGGGCGAGTCGAAGTCCGCGTGCAGTCCGCTCACGGAGTTGCTCACTGGAAAAAAGCCGACACGGTGGACGTCAGCGCAAGGGAGAGAGGGATCGGGCAAGAAAATGCACAGGCCCGGGGAAAGAAGAGCGTGTTCTTTCCTTTCCCCGCCCTGACTCCAACAAGGGCGTGCTACGCTACGCTAGTCTACGCTACGCCGTCGTCCTGCCCTCTGGTTACCTTGGAGGCGGCTGAGGCCGTGCGAGGCGAACGGGCCTAGTCCGTGGTGGCCGAGGCCGTGGCCGAGGCCGTGGGGGGCGAGAGGCCGCGCCTTCCGACGGGACGCCGCGGCCAGCGGGCACCCTGACAGACTCCGGTGCGTGTGGCGGCTTGCGCTAACGTGGCCCCGCCCGCTGCAGCCGGGGGTGGGACATTTCAGGATCGTCTCATGCATCGCCAGGACTGGGTGGGGAGAGAGACCAACGCACTGCTTTAGCCATCTATCGTCTTTCGTATTACTGCAAGGATTTCTTTGCCAATGGAAATGAAACGGAAAAAAAATAAAAGACACAGAGAGAAACAAACTAATAAAGCGGGTAGAGAGACGTACTTCATTTAATGTTTAAGGTTTTTATACGCCGAAGTTGGTCCCTAGGCAAAATCTGGTTCAATCCCACTTGCAGTCACTTTGTTGTTATTTGCAGTATTACGCTGAATTTGGTTTGAAATCACAAGCAAATTGTGTTCCCTGGCGCGTCTCGCGGTTGCAGCTGCAGTTCGTTGGTCTCTGATGAGGGACACCCTATGGGACACCCCAAGACGACCTAACCCCTGCTTCCCTGCGAATATCATCTGCCCAAGCTCCAAACACCATGTATCATGTCAATTAGAAAAATAATAACTTTTTATTACAGTTTAAAATTATGAAAATGCTGTGTCTTCAGTCTACACACAGTGCAACACATACTTGGTCAGAGTTTTGGCAGATTTTGGGTGGGGCCACCAGAGGACACAGACGGCAAAACGACACTACAGAAAATATCGAACAAGAACACTGTGTGGTAGTAAGCTCTCTACCCGGCAAATCATAACAAAACAGGAAAAAAAGAAAGAGAAACCAAACGGAAACGAAACAGAAAAAAAGCAGTAGCAAAAGAAATATTGTAAGAAACACAGAAGAAAACGCGAGTAATCGTGAAAGACAAAAAGAAAAGAAAGGAAAGAAAAGATAAGGCCGAAACCAAAGAGAGGTAAAGAGAAAGAGAGACTAAAGAATAAGCTAGGTACAGAGAATGGAAGAAGACGATGCTTACTTTCAGGTGTGACTTTGTCTTTTCTCGGACATCCCGACAGGCTGGAAACGAACGAAAGCTTTCAAACGGTGGACAGGCACATTCAATGTTCGCAAAGCAGGTTAGAAGGGTTAATCGTCCCGGCAAGCCGCCACCAGAGAGACTCGGAGAGACTCGGAGAGACCGGCTTCGGTTTCGCCTTCTATTCTCACCTCCTGTGGTGCGGGTACAGCCCGGTGGCGTGGCCCTGGCCGTCGCAGTCCGGCGTGGGGCACTTGCTGCCTTCTGGAACAGAACGATCGACACGTTGGTGCGAGCAGCAGAGACGCTCCGAGGATAATGCAACTATCTCTCTCCGACGCGAGCCCAAGACGCAGGATGATGCAACTATCTCTCTCCGACGCGCGCAGTGCGCGGGGCGGCCGCGCCGCGTGCCTCTAACTCACTTACACGGAAGTAGGGGGAGGGGGTAAAGTTTGGCCAGGGTCAAATGCCAAAGTTTTTAAGCACTTCCGAAGTTCCGGCGAACATTTTCCATCATGTGTGCCGCGTCCGCCGCGTCGTGCCATTGCCCTGGCCATCGTCAGCGAAAGCGTGAGGTAGGTCACGAGCACACCCGGGAATCTCACTTACTCGGCGCTTTGCCCAAGTTCAAGTGCCAGCTACCCGGCCCGGCCCCGGCCCGGCATCGAACCCGGGACCCGCGGCGCCGCGAGCGCACGCTCTCACCCCTAGACTACCGGGTGTCTGCAACCGGCCGGTTCCGAAAACCTCCCTCCGCGCAGTGAAAGACACAAATCAAAACGTAAAAAAATCTAAAAGAGTTTCTAGAAAGCGGATTCGAACCCGGTCGCCCGGCGCGTCGCGAGCGCGCACTCTCACCTATGATCTACCCAGTGGCTGCAACCGGCTACTTTCGAAAATCCCCCTCTCCGGCACAAACAAAAACATCCTTTAAAAAAAGTCTAAAACCGTCTCCGGGAAGCGGATTCGAACCCAGGCCACGTGCGCGATGGCCGAGATAGGGGGATTGGGCATACGTTGTGCGGCGCGCGAAATGGACTGCGTCACCTTGCCTACATGCTAACTGATTCCACAACAATGAGGGCGTGTCGGGGCTTATGATTGGGGGTCGGTAATCACTTGGGCTCGAGGGGGAGGGGGAGGGGGAGGCGGAGGGGTGCGTCTGGCAACAGAATCCGAAGCGTGCCGTTTTGTCTCCCGAGCGCGCGGGGCCGTGCAGGGCCGTGGCCGTGGGGCTGTGGGGGCGATAGGGGCGACAGGGATGCACGTCCGTTACTACCGCCGCCAGGCTTGCCTGCTGTGTGTGCGTGTGCGTGCGTGTGTACTACGACCACCCTTATCTTGTTGCGAATAGTTGCTATCGAAAACAGACACAAACACACGCAAGTAACACAACACACACATACACACACACATGGCGGCACACGCGAAAACGAAGGGTTTAGTTTGGCAGCTGCAACAGCGGCTCCAGCAGCGCGGTCAGGTTAGCCGGGGTTGGGGCGGGGCGGGGCGGGGCGGGGCGGGGCGGGGCGGGGTGGGGCGCTACAATTCTCTCACCCCGGTCAGCCAATTACGCGCGCAAAGGTTCCGGAGGGGCCGTGGCTGCCCTGGCGGGCCCGGCTGGCCCGAGGCACTGCTGCGCCGCTTTCAATGACTCGGTGCGTGCGTGCGTGGGCGTGCGAGCGTGCGCGTACACGCCTCGGGGTGCCGGCCCCGTCGTCGGCGGCGACACGCACGGCTCCGTCTGCCGCCACTCGGGGCCGGATTGATTTTCACGTGCGAGCCGCGCGAAAACGCTCCCTTGTCGTTCTTTCGCCGAGTGTAACCGACCGCCGAAGGCTACTCACCCCGGTTGAGGCCAACGCCGGGCGACAGCGGGCCGAAGGTGCGGTGCAGGTCCTGGGACCGCGGCACGGCGGGGACTCCCTCCCGGGCCACGTCCTGCAGGGCCGTGGCGGCGCGCGACCCGGCGCCGGCGGGCTGCAGGATGGTGTACTGCTTGGAGGAGGGGTCGGGCGAGGCGGCGGCGGGCGGCGGTGGCGGCGGCTGCTCGTCCTCCTCGAACTTGAGGTTGAGTTCGAGCAGGCACAGCGACGACGGCGGGGGCTTGTCGTCCATGCCGGGCATGCCGCCGACGCCCGGCGCGCCGACGCCGACCTCGGGGGCGAGGCCGTCGCCGGGGAAGCCGATGAACGTGGGCCGCGGCGGGAAGGGTCCGAAGCCGGTGTGGTGGTGCATCATGGTGGTCTTCTTGAAGTCCTTGCGGTCCTCGTCCTTGTCCAGGTCGATGTGCAGCTCCTGCGACGAGTCGTCGGCGTCGTCCTCCCTGCGCACGCCGCGCACCGTGCCGGTGGGCGGGCGCAGCGCGCGCGAGGGCGTCTTCTGGCCGCGCAGGGTGATGACGTCCTTGAGGGAGTCGGGGCCGAGGCCGGGCGAGGCCGTGGCGGCGCACCGGGCCTTGGCCGCGGCGTGCTTCTCGTCGAACAGGTTCTCGAACTTGTCGTCGGCGGCCTCGTGGTTGCCGTAGTACGACGCGCGCACGCCGGGCCAGCTGCCGGAGAGGCTCTTGAGCGCGGCCTCCGTCTCCCGGATGAGGGTCTCGTTGTCCACGCCGCCGGCCGACGCCACCATCTTGCTCATCTTCCTGGACGGCGAGTGGCGCGGGCTGTGCGCGCGCTTCCGGGCCGCCGACGTCGGCACCGAGGCCATGAGCGTGGGCGCCACGACGGCCACCTTCTGCACGTCCACCGAGTCCATCTTGGTGGGCGTGTCCTCGCAGTTGTTGTTCTCCACACAGCGCTGCGCCTTCTTGCGCTTCTTCTTGGCGTCCTCGATGCCCACGGCCGGGTCTGTCTCGGCCACGACGTCCACCATGGCGAGGCGAGGCGGGGCGCGGGCTGGGTCGCTGTCGCTACCACGCCGGCATGGCCTAGCGGCTGCAACAGGGCACGGCGGACCGGTTAGAAAAAGGCTCATATTCCCAAAGCCAGGGGTAAAACGCCTCGCTCGAGGGACACCAAAAGTGATTTTAAATTTCTCTCCGAACGCTTTGGACATCCGACTAGTGGTTCTTTTCGAATTGGTGGGAATTCCCTAACCGACTTATTATTGCAACCCTGCGCCGCCCAAAGTTTCTTCTCTCTCTCTCTCTCTCTCTCTCTCTCTCTCTCTCTCTCTCTCTGCCGCCACAGGGGTGCGAGAGAGACAGAGAGAGTCCGGACGTGTTTGGCGTCGTCGGCGTGCTGGCGCGCGGCCAGGAACACAGGACGCTGCAGGATTCCGCGGGATGCATCGCCCTGCCGCAACAGTTCGCCGGCGACGTCATACAACACGATCGCGACAAATCCCGCGGTGTCCTTCCGGGTGGCCGCGGCCGCCGCGCTCTCCTAACATCAGTGTGAGTTTTGATAGGTTGAGTTTTTCTAGGTAGAGCAGTGCGAAGCAACGACTCTTCGGAGTGGGCCGGCTGTCCGAAGTCATGACAGCCCTGCCCGTGGTGCGGCGCGCCGTGGCGGAGACGGAGACGGATCGGCTTTGCGGCGGCGCCACTGCTAAGTAGCCGAGGCGGCGGCCCGCGCCGCGCAGCTAAGCGCAGCCAGCCATCAGACAGCCAGCCCGCGGCGGGCCTCGAACCCGGGCAAAAATCGGCGTCCGTGGAGCAGGGGCTGGCAAGCCAGCAATTAGCTTGAGCAGTGCCTCGGCACGGCGGCACGGCCCAGCCCCCGGCGCCGCCTTTGAAGGGCTCGTCAAAGCGTCGCGACGCCCTGCCGGCCGCTCCGAAGGGACGTCTCATCCCTCCGTCTCTCTCGCACCCCTGCGGACGCCCCGCGAGTGCGAGAGAGACAGAGCCGGCGCGCTGCACCCCGTTTGATTGGCAGTTGCACGCGGCGCCGGCGCGCCTCGAAGCACGGCAGGAAGTACGAGGGAGCGCGCCGCCTCGATTCAAACTCGATGCAGACGCACTGCCCGCCCAACGGGGAGGACGAAGGTGCCTTCATGTGACCTTTTGTTTTGAGTTCGGCAAGCGGGAATGCTTCTCAGAGCCGCCTAGCCTGGCCCCCCTGTCGTCCCACTGGCCCCCTCGGACACCCAAAAGAGTGGATCTCGAGCCAAGATAATCTACTCGGAACAGTAAGTTGACGTTTCAAGTAATTCACTTGAATGTTTCGAGAAAATTCACTTGAATGTTACGAGAAAATTCACTTGAATATTTCGAGAAAATTTACTTGAATGTTTCAAGAAAATTCACTTGAATGTTTCAAGAAAATTCACTTGTTGCAAGTGAATTATCTTTTGTACCAGAGCAAGAAAGCACTCCTTTGAGTGCACTTCACGGCGTGCCCATCCGCAGGGGTGAGAGAGAGAGAGAGAGAGAGAGAGAGAGAGAGAGAGAGAGAGAGAGAGAGAGAGAGAGAGAGAGAGAGAGAGAGAGAGAGAGAGAGAGAGCTGCACCGAGACCATTCACAGCAGACGCCTTAACAGTGCCCTGTAGACTGATTCCGAGAGTCGCTTTCACCGCTCTGTCTCTTTCGCACTCATGGGGCGTCCCGTGAAGGTGCGAGAGAGACGGAGCGACAGAGGCTGCTGCTCGCGCCGTCATGCAAGTGACACGACACGCCGCTCAATCTTCCGAGAGAAAGATCACAAAAAGAAGCTACAAACTCCGTCATCTTTTCAATGGTGCCGATTGCCGCACGCTGTTGCTCGCGGGGGAGAGAGAGAGAGAGATAGAGAGAGAGAGAAAGGAAGGAAAAAAAGAGACGGAGGGGAGAAACGTCAGGTGCGGGGAAGGGCGGTGGCCTCTTCCGGTGAGATCCCGGAGGGCACCTACCCCGGCCCGGACGGCTCCGGACGGCTCCGGGGCGTGTGCTCTCTGATTTCCTTTCACCGCGGCGTCTCCCTTTCTTTCTCGCCTTTTTTGTTTATCTTTTTTTTATTTTTTTATGGACTTGTTGAGAGGCGCCGTTAGCACCGCGGCGGTGGCCCCGCGCGCCCCTCAGACACGTACCCTTTGTTGTAAGTCGCTTAGCCCCGGCCCCTCTGGGGCTGACATCATCTTATTTACTCGTCGGGCCGAGCTGGAGGGGAGGGGGAGGGGAGGGGAGGGGAGGGGAGGGGAGGGGAACGTCCCTCGAGGACTAATTCGCACCGCCGCACTGTCTGCGGGGCGCAGCGCGGCCGCCCCGTTTAGTGGCGGCTTTCTTAGAGTGCCGGCACTCACAAAAAAGTAAGAAAACTAAAACTAAAATGAAACGAATAACCCTGATCAAGTGTGGTGGTGAAATCCACACTATTGAAAATTCAAGTTCTTTATCCTTTTGAAATTTACTTTTGTAGTTTCAAGTTGCATTAGCCTGATAAAATAACTGAAAACAAAAACGTTGGAACAGCAAGTCGTTCTACGAATTCACTTGTTTAAGGCGTTTCTAGCTCAATGTATGATAATTTTTGGAAGTATTTTTCTAAACAGGTGTCTGATTTAGTGGGTGTAGAAAATTTCATCTAGAAAATTAACCAAGTGTCCAGGCCTTGAGGGCAATGTGCGACAGGAGAGCGTCACGAAGACATCGAAATGGTCCCTGTTTTCTGCACGGCCACTGAAGGACTGATTCTAAACTTGAGAGTCCACACAGGCCAGCGGGGCCCTAATCCCACCACCTCCACCGTCTCGCAGCCAATCCGGGGCACTCACTGGGGATGGGCACACACCTGCAGGGCCTCGGGGGGCCTAGGCCTAGGCCTTGGGCAAGGACGACGAAGGGAAAGGAACTTTCTGGTCCCCGCAAATTGTCTAACTCGAAACCCGGGTGAGCGGGGCGAAGGCGGCGAAGGCGAGGACGTGGGTCAGTCGGCCGGGCTCGGCACGGCACGGCACGGCGCGGAGTCCTGAAGGACACGCGTTCGGGAGACACTGTGAGACACTCGCACCAACTCACTTTTTCATTGAATCCAGTCACGACGGGCTGCGCGCGAAGGCGCTGAGGGGGCGGCCATGGCCGCCGTGGGACAGGGGGCCTGGGGGGCCAGCGGGGCCGGACGGGGAGGCCGAGCCAGGCCCAGCAAGAGCGAGCCGAAGCGCACTGCGATGAGCACCTCCGACCACTACACCACAATCACAATCGGCACCACACACACTCGCGTCACTCAGTCACTGCACCACTACGCACTACGCGACGAGCTGGACTGCGCGGGCCGAGCACGCACTGCCCCACGCACGCACCACGCACGCACCCTGCCTCGGCGACCGCTCGCAGCGCACTGCCAGCGGGGCGGCCAGGGCGCGCTGGCGGGGAGGGCGCGGGCGGGGGAGGGCGCGGGGCCGCGGGGCGGTGGTGGGGGCGGGCGCGGGCGCCGGGCCTGCGCGCTGCCCCGCCACTGCGGGGGCCTGGCCCAGGCCCGGCCGAGGGGCGGGGCCCCGGCAGGGCAGGAGAGCCCTGATAGGAGCCCCGGCGGGGGAGCCCCGGCCACTCACGGCCCGAGGAGAGCGGGGCAGAGCAGGGCCCAAGTCCGGGGGCGTGGTTCGAGTGCGCAGGCCCGGGCCCCCTCAAGCCCCCCGCCACCCCACCTTACCCCATCGGGGGCCCCACTACCAATAGCGAGGTATCGGCCGCACCAGATGGCACGCCGAGGTATTGGCCCCGTCATCCAGGGGGACCCGCTTGTATCTCAAGGGCCGGAGGCTGAACCCCGCACCGACCGAGTGGGGCTGGGGCTGCTGGGGTTGCCCAGGCCAGACCTCGGCCCGATCACTATCGCTCCAAGTGTGCGGTTCAAAAATAAAGATAAAATACATAATGTAATACAGAGAAAAATTATTGTTTGCTTAAAAAAAAATTGAAGTACGAATAAAGACTTAAGTTCAGGAATGACCTGTTCTGTTGTTTTGTCCATTTTGGCCAGTTTAAGATTGGTTCACACGTCCTAAAAATATTGAAGGTATCGCTGTGACAAAGGCAGTGACTTTGAAGCAGTGGCTTCCAACGCCGGCGCCGTGGCCACCCCCAACAACCGCCGGATCGACGAAATAGATTTTTTTCGCTAGGCAGATGCAGTAGTACTGGTTCAAAACGAGACAGGCAACGGGACGAATTGTACAGACAGACAGACAGACAGACAGACAGACAGACCGACCGACAGACACGCGCGCAGGCGGCCAGCTGGATTGCGAAGCAGACTCATGTGGAGCCCTTGAGGCGGTAATCACTTTGACCCTGCGCGGAGCCGGGAGTCGTCCCACGGACCGGCGAAGTCAGGGTCGTCTAAGTGCGGCGGCGCGGCGCGGCGCGGCCCGGCATCCTCGACTTGACTCGAGTCAGCTGTTTGGAGTTCGTGAACCATCCCGTCGTCCCGTATCCCCACCATCGCCCGGGCACGCCGGCACGCCGCACCGCGGTCGCCGCGCTCTCACTTCCCTCATCCTTGGCCCAGCCATGGCCCAGCCAAGGAACTTGGCTACTGTGTTAAACGCATTCAAAAGTATACGCCGCTCACCCCCGCCCGCCGCTTCCCCGTCGGCCGCGCCCGCCCCGCCCCGCCCCGCCCCGCCCCGCGCGACTCAAAGTTTCAATGTTTTGACTGGCCGGAAAGTTCGCCGTCCTCAAACTAGAACCACGAGAGTAAAGTTTTTCGCGGCGGAGCGGGAAGAACATTTATCTGGAAGTCGTCAAGGTCAATGACCGACCGCGAATATTAAGAGTGTTTCCGCGGCTTTACCCCCTGCCGGTTTGTCTGGGCTGAATTCGGCCGCCACGCCCGCCCCGCCCCGCCCTTTCGAACTTCGACACGGCGGGGAGGGGGCGGGTCGTGTCCCGGTGCCCTACAAGTTGTCGTCTCGGTGGCGGCCTGGCGGCGGTCAAGCAGCCAACTTGCGACACTGCAAACTTGGCCCGCCGCCGCGACACCGCCTCGCTCCGCCGCAACACGGTGGGCTTCATCCCCGACTGGACATGCAGTCGTTTCGCCGCTCTGCCTCACCCGCACGAACCCCCAGCGACTGCGAGAGAGACGCCGCGCCGAGCGAGGGGGGAAAAATGGCGCGCCCGATACTTCAAGTCTCCGGCGAGCGCCGTGCGGGTAGGCCGCCCGGCCGCGGCCGTGTCGGCGTGCTGCCTACCGCGCAGGCGCGCTGCCCGGCCGCCCGGCCGCCCGGCGGGTAGGCACCCCAACGCACGCGCGTTCACCGCGTTGCCTACCCGCCGCACCGCAGGCGCCGTCCGTGCCACGCCACTTTTAAAATTAATTTTCCCCCCCGCTCCGTTTTTGACGGGGGGGTTCCCGCGGTACCGCCGGCCCTCTTACAACAAACTGCGCCCCCGCCCGGGCGCGCCCCCTCCCCAGACACCGCCACACTGCCACCGCAAACTTAAGTGCGAGGGGATGCAGCAAGCAAGCACTCCCCGCGACAAACAGCCACTTGATGTGGCCACGTGTGTTTGGGGGCGGGGCGGGGCGGGGCGGGGCGCCGAGGAGGTAGACATGCGATACTCTCATTACCCCGCGGTAACAGTTGTCACTGCACTCGGCGCGCGACCACGCCAACCACTTCAACACCTCGGCCCGACATTTTTCTCGGAAACGGCCGGCGTGCGGCCCGCCGTTCACGCTTTTTTTTTTGAAAAAGAAAAAGAAGTCAAAACAAAGTACTCTTCAAAGAGTAAACCAGAAAATGAATTGAATTATTTTCGAGACAGCCCTAGTGCCACCACCACCGCTGCCCCTTAAATCCTTCTTCGTGCCGCCGCGGCTGTTCCGTGTGTCTGAGTGAGCTATTCGCATTCATCCCTTAATTGTCTGCTCGCGAACGATCAGCGAGACGAGTCGAGTCGCGGTGGAGCCCGGCCGGGGCCTGGTGCGGCGCGGAGCCGGGCGGCGGAGCCGAGCCGGGCTGCTAAGGCCTCGGCGCGCCCTGGCGGAGCCCTGGCGGAGCCCTGGCGGAGTCCTAGCCCAGGCCGCGGGGCCGGCCTCACTAATGTCATTATATCATTTGGAAGTTTGGTGCCGGGCGTGGCGGGCGCGGCGGCGTGAGGGTGGCGGCAGGCAGCCCGGCCAGGCGGCGCGTCGCCCTACCTGGTACTCGGGGTGCGTGCCGCCGGGTGCGAGGCGCCGCCACGCCGCCGAGCCACGCCGCCGTGGCGTGCGCAGGATTTCTATTCCCGAGTGCACCGCGCACCGCCACTGCATTTTCACTTTCGTGCCAATGAGCGCGCCGTTGGCTGAGCGGAGCGGGGCGGGGCGGGGCGGGGCTGGGCGGGGCCGTGCGGTCGTACCCAGCACCTCCAAGCCCGCCGTGTTCCCGCCCAACCCTCACCGCCAGGCCTCGCACCGCCTGCAGACTGATTCCGCACATCGCTCTCGTCGCTCTGTCTCTCTCGCACTCGCGGGCCGCGCCGTGCCGGTGCGAGAGAGACAGAGCGAGGGAACGCCCCGCGGATTCAGCCCGCTGCAGACCTATTTCCGACACCTTATCTCCGGCCATCAAACGCCACTTAACCCGACCGACGCCTCTCCAGCACCTCTGGCCCCGCCCCGCCCCGCCCCGCCCCGCCCCGCCACGCCCCGCCCCGCCCCGCCCCGCCCCGCCACGCCCCGCCCCGCCCCCTCAAATGCTTTCACTTGAACACAGATTTGCGCAGTCCGCGCGCTATCTCGCTCCCACACTTATCGCCGCCACTGTAGGCGGAAGGGCCGCGTCAACGTGGACCCGGCGTCATTTTCGTAGCGTTTTTCGAAGGACCCCACATGTTGGTTCGCTGGTTGGGACTGGGTGAGGATGAGTGAAGGCCAAACAGAGCTTTAGCAGTTCTGTCTCTCTCGCACACTCGGGGCCCGCCCCGTGCGGGTGCGAGCGAGACAGAGCGACGGAGCGCGGCAGGCGGCCAGGCCTCCGCTATCGCACAGGCGCACGATCCTTGCTTAAACCTGCACTTTAATCCTGGATTTACAATGGCCTGGCTCCTTGGGAACCAACTTGGCGTCGGGCCGCGCCTCCTTGCCTCTATCTCCTGACCCGGGATTCTATCCGCGGCCAACGCTGTGCGCGTGTGTCTGTCTGTCTGTCTGTCTGTCTGTCTGTCTGTCTGTCTGTCTGTCTGTCTGTCTGTCTGTCTGTCTGTCTGTCTGTCTGCCTGTCTGTCTGTCTGTCTGTCTGTCTGTCTGTCTGTCTGTCGGCCGACCTGATCACGTGGTGAGTCAGGAGCAACGTGATTTTGAAGTGAACTGCTGCCCCTCGTTACCCTGGTGACAAGTGGTGCGTGCTTGTGAGCTTGCAACTCTGTATGTGTGTGTGTGTGTGTGTGTGTGTGTCCCCGCGAATAATACATTGTATTGGCAGTGGCCGTGCCTGCCGCCACAGGCACGCTGGCGCCGAGGCCGCCGCTGCCGCCAGCCTCACCCACGTCGTCCACGTCGTCCACGTCGACGCCCCCTAAACAGAGGCCGAGGCCCAACTAGTCACGTCCGCCGCCTTCTAATTAACGTCCTTTCGGGTCTCATTGGTCATCAGGGCCCCGTCCGGCTCGGCTCTGCCCGGCTCGGCTCTGCCCGGCTCGGCTCTGCCCGGCTCGGCTCGGCCCGGCTGACCGGCCAATACAAGCAATCAGCAATGGCGGCCGCTTCCTGCTCTGTCTCTCTCTCTCTCGCACTCGCGGGGCGTCCCGGCGGGACGGTGGCGTCGTCCTCGTCGTCGCCGCGGTCGGCCCCGTCCCGGTCGGCGTCGAGGACGCGGCCGCGGTCAAGCTGCCGGCGACGCTGCCGTCAAAGGGACCGCTCGGCCAACTGAACAGACCCGCCCCGCCCCGCCCCGCCCCGCCCCGCCCCGCCCCGCCCCGCCCCGCGCGTGTTGGCTGAGATTCCCCTCCGAAGTGGCCGCTCCGTGCTTCAATGAAATCTTTCGCTGTGGCCACCCTAACGAAAGCGCGGGGCGGCGGAGCGGTTCCGAGCAGCGTCGCTCTGTCTCTCTCGCACCCCTGCGGCCCTGCGGCGCGCCCCGCGAGTGCGACAGAGACAGAGCCGCCGTTCGGGGTCCGCCTGCTGGAATTCCGGAGGGAGAGGCGAGCAGCCCGGAGAGGCAGGCCGGCAGCCCCGTCCCTGGACTGACGGATGCACCTGGTGATGGAATGGAGTGCAAACTCCCTTTGGACGCCTTGAAGGCCCTGAGCCCGAGCCCGAGGCCGGCCCGGGCCCTGAGCCTTGAGTGCGTCCACTAGCCAGTCCACTCTCGCCGGAATCGATGGGTGTTTAAA